TGATCGGGATAATCTACCATCGTGACCTCTGCCCAAAGGGACGGAGGATAACCATGGAAAGCCTCACTTAGTTTAGCCGGTGTCCTGGCCTAGACTCGAAACGAGCACCTCAGAATACAGACCTAGAGTGTTACCACTAGGCCAGCTTGATTGGGCAGAATAGACGCAAAGATTCCTTGGGGGAGGGGCTCTTGCTGACGTCATGCAGACCACATTCTGCTGACGTCACTGCTGACGCATCAGCTGCTTCAGAATATGTGACAAACTGCTGTTTTGGCAAGTGTCCAACATTGTTAATATTCGCTGGAAGGTTAAGAGCACAGCTGTTTCATTGGCAATAATGCGGAAACGGAGCGACACTAACCCAGGAAGTGTACTCCTATAAAATTTGTTTGCCGTATTTATAGAATATCAGCAGAATTTAGGTCTGTGTACTTATTCACTGCCGGATGTAAGTCACGGGTTAAACGAACATGTAAGCAACCAAACACAGGAACTAGAAGATTTAATGTCCCCACCCCCAGCCTTTTAATTAAACACCATGTCCTTAAGATCTGTGGTGGAGTGGGAGCATAGTTCCACTCATTCTTAACGTCGGGACAAGATGGAGGTAAGATGGCAGTTTCACCTTCCGGTCACTTTACTCCTGGGGAAAGCGCCCTTCCAGCCGCACATTAGGGCCCTGGGATTCACTCAGTCTCTAACAGAAATGAGTACCAGGAATTAATTAAATAATCTTCCTGGGGAGTAAAGAGCGGCCGGCGCGTAAGGCTGACAACCTTACAGCCATCTTTGAGCCGATTGTCTAGATGGTGTTGGACCCTCAAAGTCTCACAACCCTATTGGCCTTCACGGCCTGGTACAGGGATAGCTTTACTTTACTTTTTTTTTTTACTTTGTAGTGGGGGGTGGAGTCCAACTGGGTCCACTCGGCACGGCGGCCACTGATTGGCCTATTGTAGCCTGCCCCGGGTGATTATGATGATGGAGAATTTGGTGGAATGAAGATTGGCAAGGGAAACCGAAGCACTCGGAGAAAACCCGCCCCAGCGTCACTTTGTCCACCAGAAGACCTGGGCTCGAACCCGGGCTTCCGCGGTGGGAAGCCAGCGACTGACCGACTGAGCTATGGCGCGACCTTAGCGCCCACATTACCCGTTAGCTAGGATGTTATTTGGGCCTCAGGGCCGATCTGGATGTTACATAGAAGATGAAATCTCTTACTCCTGTCGGGAATCGAATCCCGATTCCTCGAACGTCCATCCGGTACGCTAATCACTATGTCGACTGAGCTATCACGGATCCTAAAATGGAAGAATACCAACGGAAATATTGAGAAAATATGATAATAATGACAACAGAGAGAATTCCATTGACAACTGCGGAACGTAAACATAAAGGAAGAAGACAACGGAGAAGTAACACCAGAACATGATGGAAACACCTGTAATTGGAATACTGGAAAATTATGTTCGACCGTGCCAGGAGCGAAGATATAGGGCGACAGATTCGAGAATGGATCACGGGAGATAGGACTGGAATGAGCTTATGGGTAGACCGCGCTAAAAGGTGCAGGGACTCACATTCTGGGAACACCAGGCGAGTAAGGTAAAGTTGTCCCCGTGCTAAACTAGTTTTGCTCTAGGCCAAGAAGGCGTACGGGTGACTGCATGTAAAGCTGTCTGTGTAACAGGCCGTGGAGACCCATAGAGTTGTGAGACGTCGAGGCTCCCACATTATCTAGACAATCGGCTCAAAGATGGCGGTAAGGCTGTCAGCCTTACGCGCCGGCCGCCCTTTACCCCCAGGAAGATTCTGGAACTCATTTCTGTTAGAGGCTGAGTCGATCTCAGGGCCATAGTGCGGCTGGAAGGATTAGGTCAATTGGAAAATCCAACGACCTCATCGGGAATGAACCCGCGACCTTCCGGTATGTAGCATAGTCACTCACCCAACTATGCTACCGCGTGTCCCGGGGGAGTGGATGTAGAGATCCAAATATTCTTTACTACGGCACTAATTTGAGGCGAGTGGTTAGCTTCACGCCCCGACAGCTTTACTTCTGGAGGAGCCCCAGAACTGGTCTGGACGACACGAGGAAGAGAAATATCTTTACCCTGCCGGGCCTCAAACTTGAACCTCTCGGCCGTCCAGCCCGAAGTCAGCCGCTTGCAGCCTGACATAAACAGGCGAGGAAAGAGGGCGGCAGTAGTGGACCGGATTCATCTGGCTCAGGATAGAGACCAGTGACAGGCTATTATAAACATGGTAATGAATCTTTAGGTTACCTAAAATTCTGGGGATCTTTTGAGCAGATGAGCAAGAAGGACTCAGTTGCATTGAGTTCATTGGTTTGGAGTTTGCTAGTTTTCTCACTGGACGGTGCCGTGGAGAGATAGGATTTTGAAGCCACTGTTCTAAGTTGGCGAATCCTTAAGGAATACAAAGAAGTGGATTTCTGACTTCCCGTGCCAAACCTAATCAAAATCTGTGATAATTGCATGAAAGAATGGTTAAAAAGAAAAATTGTCTTTGACAGTTGGAGAATTTACGAAGTTAAAATTTCTAATGTGATCTTATGTGTTAGTGTTATCTTGTAGGTTATTACCAAGGTCTCCGATATACCTGCTGCCTCCATCTTCAGATCAGAAGCGCTCGGTTTTAGGCGGGGAGCTTCGTTGGGCAAAGAGAAAGAGTAGTTTGTAGTGAGTTGTTGGAGATGTTTTAAGGGCAACAATTTGTGTAAATGTATACTTCGTGAATATTAAAGACGAAATTTCGTTAAAGTAAAGGCTTTTATTTCTCTCTCTCTCTCTCTCTTAAAACGTGTTTTCCGGTACTTTCTCTCTCTCTCTCTCTCACCTTGATATAGAAACGTCCAGTGTTGCAGCAGTTGTGTGACGCGGCTTTTGACAAGCTGCACGGTATCCCTTGTCTGGCTGTATGCGTACAGGCCGAAGACAAGTATGCGTAAAGGTAAATTGTCTCTGTGCTTAATTATGCACCACGTCATGAATATATGTGCTAGTGGATATGTAGATCCATGGACTCTGTACCTGGCTGCTAGGTGTAGACTGACGGTCAGCTTCGCGACCCGGCCGCTTTATGCCCGAGGAGAAAGCCTTGGCCCGTTGGACAAGAGGCTGGGTAGGCCCCAGAGGCAGTGTAGGCACTGTGGGGTAGAGAAAAGTCTGTTGCCCATGCCAGGAATGGAACTGCGATTCCTCGGGCATTGATCAGTTGCTTAGTTCACGGAGATTTGAATGGATTGAATATACCGCGTCAGTATGTGAGCGCGATTATACAATTTAAACATCTCCTGCCATCTCCCGCAGAGATTCATAACTATGCAGACTGTTGGCTTGGTTAGTGGAGTCCCAGCGCCGCATTACTTCTGCTGTGCGTTAATGACGAATTTAAATTTATGTTTTATGAAATTTGAGATACTCACGGTGGTAACTATGAGGATTATTGCCCTGTGAGACAAGACGTCATGCATTTTTGTAGCGTTTTTAACGATGCTGTCATTAATTCGGACTGTAGCATATGATTGTATGATTGTATGTATGATTGCATAGTAGTGAACAGTGAATTGGAAAAGGTGTGGAAGCAGCTAGTCAAAGCAAACGGCATCAATCCCAGACTACAGTAAACGCCACAGTCACCATTCTGAGAATCTCAAATCCCTCAAGAGCAGGGTGCGCTTGCGAGGCCAAATTGTAGATGAGATGGTATAAAATATATATTATAAGTCGTGAACATGGGGTGGACCCAACTAGTGATTCAGCAAAGATACTGTTACAGGCCTTCTGTGTACACAGCAATGAATTTTAGAATTCCGTGAAGGCAATCAATTTCATAATCAATAAAATAGCTACCAATTGCTCAAAAGTGTTCTGCATTGAAGAGTTAATTTGTAGAAAGAATATGTTTGACCATGTTGGTCACAGCTGCTAGCTGTTTGCCGCGACATCTTGCTGCATGTAGTCTCAGCATCACATGCGACTATTATCAGTGAGTACATGAGACAGATGGAAATTACACTCCTCCGAGCTTTCGAGTCATGTTTAGTGCATCGACACTTTTCGTACCAAACTACTGTTATAAAATCCACTAAATCGAATTGATATATATCCCTACGCTTGTATGGTTCTTCTTACAACACACTGGAGGGTTAAAGCCTTAAAAGATTACAGTCTTCGGGGATATTACGTCGTGTATTCTGGTAGATATGTACCAACGTTTCGGAGCAACCTACAGCCTCCGGCTTCAGACTCTAAACTGAAGATGGCGGTAGAACGTTTCTCCGCAACTTTGATGCCTTTCTACTAGACTTCGTTGCGTCTCATCCCAGAACATCATAATGTTCATGGTCACTTTCTGTCATATACGTCATCCAACAAAACGGAATATTGCACTGATCTACCGGACTACATTGTGTTACCAAGCAGGTTTGTGCAACGGTATCGCTCTAGATTCGTATTTGAAAGGTTTTTGGTTCGAATTACTGCTGGAACACCTGTAATTCTGATAGGCTGTTCGTGGTTTTTTTTTCAGTTCCGTCTAGATTGTACTACTACCGCTTCCCTTCAGATTCTTTCAGTGAATCAATCATCGGACCACACGGCGCAATGTATAATAACATAATTGTAAACTAGCCCGCAAAAATATACAGCGTCACGTACCGCAATAGAGTAAGGGCGGCCGCATACCAACTGCGTCAAGACAAGCATCAAGACATGAGACAAAAGACACAGTCTTGCTACATTCGTGATTCGTCAGCATGAAGCTGACGTCAGTATCATGATTCAGACTGGTGTGCGGCTTTTTTCATAATCTCGTTCGTTTCCAGTGTGCTTTCTTTTCGTCTTGACTGTTACATGTCTTGACGCATGCCGGTGTGCGGTGTACCTAACCGTCGTGGTCAGCCCAGTGACATCCAGACAGCTCTCGCAGAATATTTCACAGTTGGCGGTCCTGATGCTATGGATGAGCGAGTATTCGATCTGTTATCGTCACTGGCGAAGGTTTGGTGAGGCTTGTGTGTTGCGTAGTCTTACATACGAATTGTAAGGTCGTGAAAGTGGTGAAGGTTGCATCCGAAGCAGACATGCATTTAACAGGAAAGGCAGCGAATTAGGAGAAATCATGGGGTGGAAGTGTGATGTGTAGTGCGTAACGAATTTAAAGTACGTAGATGCGTTTGTCCATTATTCACTACAATCAGCTGATACTTAGTTTAGCGTATATAATTAACAGCCCCATTGCATAACATGTGATACGAATGTAAGTGTGTTCCGTGTAGTGTGAAACGTAGAGTTGCGTAATTACATATCAAACCGAGTGTTTATCAGGAGAGCGTGTCTATTCATTAGTGGCAGTCTACCGGTTGTGTTTGTGTTCAGTGTAGCGTGAAATTGACAATTGTGTAATTACAGATCAACCTTATTGTTAATCAGAAAAACATGTCTATTCACAAGTGGCTGTCTACCGGTTCTATTTATCTTAATGCTGAAGCTGTGGACGAAAAAGAAAAAGACGGAATAATGTTTAGGTAAAGAACTGATTACGGTTATTTTTAGTCTGTTTAGGTAATACAGTAAACGCAAGAGGAACATTTCAACTTCAGAATTAGTCATAATTGCAAAATACCCGTATTTATTTATTGCAGGTTGAGACCTTGATATCCATCCACATCCATTATTTGTAATTGTATTTAATGCGTAATTATTATATTTATTGGCAGGTGGATCCATTTCCCGGATGACTGTTGTGGAAGTATGAATAAACTTGAACCATGACAAGCGTGTTACCACAAAAGGCACCAACTGAATAAAACAAATTTAGTGACACGATGATTCTTTTGCCCAATATTTCCATTCAGAAAAAGTTGAGTTCGTTTTTTATACTCTGAAAGAGCTTTGTACTTGTTTTGAATTAAATTCTTGTTTGTGATAGGTAAAATTTGCAATTTGTCACAGGACATTCTAGAATAAATTCGGCTTTTCCATAATTAACAAAAGAATTACAGTGTCTGCAGAAAGTTGAAGTGTGCCCATATATTACATGTCTAGTGTGCTGTATTGCATTTCAGCTAGTTACAGTTATTATATTTATTGTATTTTACTTTGATGTTCATAGTGATGACACATTATTTACTTTTCGTTTAAATCTCACATATGAAATTTTATTTAATTGTTTTGGTCATTCTGGGATTGCTGGTTATGGATTGAAGTTCTAAAAACTTTTTTTTCTGTCTAACAGATTTTGTTAAGTCTTGTTATATGGGAGTCACATTTGAATAAATGCAGTTGATTTTCAAAAAATCACTGGTATACAATAAAACATAATATGCACCATTGTAAGGGTTTTCCAAGGTGCTGAACATTTGTGACAGAAGCTCAGCATGCTTGAATTCCATCCTCAAAGATGAGTTTGCACATTTTACAACAGGATGATTGTCAACATTTTAGAAACTGCATTTTATTACAAATTTCTTTCTTATCAATACGTTTCGTCAAGTTCAGAAGTTCATGACTTAAACTGATATGTTTAAGAAATTTAAGAACTGCTTTGAGATTTCCAGTTATGAATTCTATTTCAATTTGTTCGTTCTTATTCTGTTTTGTATTTCAAGCAATTTTAGAATTTTTTTAAAGACACAAGTATAATCCCATTATTTATAACAAGGGGAGAGAGAGAGTAGGAGAACAGTAAACATTAAATAATACATGCTTTGCTAAAAGATAATTCAGAGCATGATGCATAAGCTGAATGTACAATATTTTCCATGCTATACCTTGATCTCATTGTAGAGTGTGTAAATTACCTGTTATGTAGAACTGTGAGATTAGTTATGAACAGTTGAGCGTCTCACTGTTCTCATTATACATTTTATGAGTATGTGATTTATTCATCTCATTTGAGGTCATGTGTCTTGACCCATTTACAGCAGAACTGTTTGTGTAATGGGGGGAGGGCTGAATGTAGTCACAGGAGGTGGCAGACATGATGATAGCCACCATTTTTGCAATATAAACAGTGAAATACTCTACAGAACTATAAGGCTTATTTTGGACTCTATCTATCATCTGGATAGTGATTGAGACTAGCTCTTTCTAACGGGCCCAGCTGAGTAGGTCTATTCTGCCCCATCCACCTGAGGACGGAGACATATCCAGTCTCTGAAATGTTGTGGTTTTTTGTGTTATATATACCAGACGATGGCTAGAGTCTAAAATAAACCTTTCAAGTCTACTAGTGAAATACTTTTCTGGCATATCTGCCTTTACACTCAATGACAAAAAGAACGCTCATGTTCGTATGCACACTTGTGAGCCTATTTATACCTCACCCCTTCAGTTTTATTTAACTTAGTTTTTAATATATGATGTAGATCGGTAAAGAAATGTTGATGATGGAACAAAAAAATTAATATTTCCCGTTGTCTTGTGCTCCATAATTTACCAAATATTTTAGATGTCTAATATTTTAGGTGTGGTTTACAACCCAGTTTTGACCTTAGGTTATTCTGCCACTGTCTCCAGAGCTGTGATATCTCGGTCTGTGTAGCCGTGGGCTATGAGTTGCACAGCCTGGGTCAAATTCACAGCAGAGCAAGAGATTGTTCTCTACTCCACAGCATCCAGACTGGCTCTGGGGCCCACCCAAACTCCTATCCAATGGGTAGCTGGGTGCTCTTGCCCCAGGTTAAATTGGCTGGAGCATGAGGTTCGCCACACAACTTTTAATCTATTGCTGAGGTCAAGAATGGTCTAGCTATATCTCCACTCTCCCATACAGCTTAATGGTGTGATGCTTATTTGATAAACCACAGGTACAGCTTTTACCTTGTCTGAGCTGAAATGTTTATGAAGCACTGCAGAACATTTTCTGAACGCAGAATAGGGCACCTATTGGAGAGCCATGAAATAAATGTGTAACAGTGATGTGTTTTCATTTTCAGTAGTCCCAAGAAGCGGAACAAGTATGGACCTGCACTTAAACATTTCATACCAATCCGACCGTCCCCAAGGTTAGTCATTGACAGAACTATTCATTTTATAACAAGATTTGAGGTTTTCACTATAGTGAATATTAAGATTACGGTTATCCAGGATTCTGATGTCGTATGATGCATAGGCAATAGGTACCAACATTTCAGAGATGCCTTCTGCTTCCATCTTCAGATTCATCTCTTTTCCCCCTCTCTCCTTTCTCTTACACTTGTCCTTTATTTCTGCCTAGTGTCAGTAGCCTTTTTCAGGGTTTTATGGTGTGGGCTCATTGTTTCTAGCCTCACTGGCTCCTCCCAGTATTATGTACCTTCCTTCCTTTCATCGCCCTCTCCTGTGAAAATGAACAAGTAGATTTCCTGCAAGTACTGGCATCGGTCTACAGATTGCATGATGCAATTTGTATTGTCACATAGTAGGGGTTTGCATGACTTATAAAACGGGTTTTGGATTTTATGATCGGATTTGTTGGACCTTTGTACAACTTGTTCAGCAGTTCACAGATACCTATTTTCAGCTCTACGCTCACAACTTCTGACCATGTTAGACTAATCTACTACTACAACTAAACTTTAAGTTGTTGTTGGCTACTTGTTATATAGCCTTGGGGCGGACCACGCAGAAAACCCATCTGTTGCCTAGCAATGGATGTCTTCTATTATTGCGTATTCATTGCTGTGGGATGTGTTTACAGAGACATTGCCTAGCAATGGTTCTATGTGTCACAGTATTTAAGTTGTACACAGTGGTAATTTGTGACCAAAAATAGGCATCTATATTGGAACCCCAGAGAACAGCAGACCTAAATGGGGGCTTGCTCTGATCTTTCAGTGACAGCCGTGCAATGCCTAGTAATTCGTCTGGATTCTTCAGCTTTGTGGCTGTCTCCTGGATGACAGGACTTATGTGGAAAGCTTATCGACATGGGCTGTCTGAGGAAGATCTGTACGATTTACAGGTAGGATACAAGTCATCAGTAAAGTTAGAATTGTATCACCTTATTTTGCTTCATTCTCTGAAAGTTTGAATTGTGTAGCATCAAATGATGTGATTGCTAATGAGTAAGTAAGTGGAAAAGGTGCGGTCTAATTTGAGGCACTCTTCTGGCTTTTGATGGAGACACCGAGGAAAATCACAGAAACCTCAGTCTGCTTGGTTGGTTCTTGGGCTGAGATTCAGATCTGAGACCTTCCAAGTATGAAGCATCGTGTCACGCATGTGACTGTTATGGTTGATTGTAACAAAAGCTAATGTGAATTTTTTATTTTATGAATCAAAGAAATGATTATGAATAACCTTTGTTGTTGGTGCACATGGGTTTAGCAGAGCTTGCATCACATGGTTCCAATGTAACTATGCTGTAGTAATAAGAGATTGAGATATCTGATCTCTTTATGATGTAGGTTAAAGTTTATAAATCTGTAGCATGAATTACTAAACCAGGGTGTCCTCAAACTCTGATATTGCAATGCACTGAAATAATACATCAATTTATGGGACCTTCCCACTCTGCCAGTGAGTGCTTGTTGGACGTCTCCATCAGTCTGTAGTTTTACAGCAGACATGTTAATAGTTTTACAGTACATAACTATAAAATGTTACCTGCAAAATTGAAAAGGTATAAATCGCCAGGTAGTGATCAAATTGTGGCAGAACTTAATCAAGTAGAGGTGAAATATTATGTTTGACGATCCATAAGCTAATGTCTTCTATTTGGCATAAGGAAAAATTGCCTGATCAGTGGAAGGAGTGTTACGGTGTACCAGTTCACAAGAAAGGTGATAAAACTGACTGTAGTAATTATCGTGGGATATCACTGCTGTCAACTTCATATAAAATTTTATCCAACATTCTTCTCTCAAAGTCAAGTCCGTACATAGATGGAATTATTGGGGATCATCATTGTGGGTTTCAACATAACAGATCAACTACTAATCAGATCTTTTGCATTTGTCAGATACTGGAGAAAAAATGGGAGTACAGTGAGACAGTACATCAGCTATTCGTAGATTTCAAGAAAACCTATGATTCAGTTAGGAGGGAAGTATTTTTCAGTATTCTGATAGAGTTTGGGTTACCCATGAAACTAGTCAGGCTGATTAAATTGTGTTTAAATGAAACGTGTAGTAAAGTCCATATAGGTAGACATTTGTCTGATAATTTCTCTATCCAGAATGGTCTAAAACAAAGGAGATGCTTTATCACCACTCCTTTTCAACTTTGCTTTAGAATATGCCATTAGGAAGGTCCGGGAAAACCAGGTGGGACTGAAATTAAACGGGACACAGCTGTTGTTCTGTGCCGATGATGTGAATCTACTGGGTGATAATATAGATACCATAAAGAGAAACACACAAGCTTTAATTGATGTTAGTAAGGAGGTTGGTCTAGAAGTAAACACAGAGAAGACTAATTCGATTAGTGGGGGGTGGAGTCCAACTGGGCCCACTTGGCACGGCGGCCTCTGATTGGCCTAGTGTAGCCTGCCCCGGGTGATTATGATGATGGAGAATTTGGTGGAATGAAGATTGGCAGGGGAAACTGAAGTAGTCGGAGAAAACCCACCCCAGCGGCACTTTGTCCACCAAAAATCCCACTTGACTAGACCCAGGATCGAACCAGGGCCGCCGTAGTGGGAAGCCAGCAACTAACCGCTTTAGCTATGGCATGGCCCATGGGAAAACTAAGTATATGTTGCTGTCTCATCACCAAAATGCAGGACAAAATCATGGCATGAAGACAGGTGACAGATGTTTTGAAAATGTGGCACAGTTCAGATATTTGGGAACAACAATAACGGATTGAAACCTGATTCAGGAGGAAATTAAAGGGAAGTTGAACTCGGGTAATGCTTGCCACCATTCAGTCCAGAATCTTTTGTTTTCTCGTCTGCTGTCCAAGAACATAAAAATTAGAATATACAGAATTTAATTTTGCTTGTGGTTCTGTATGGGTTTGAAACTTGATCTCTGATATTAAGGGAGGAACATAGACTGAGGGTTTTTGAGAACAGGGTGTTGAGGAGAATATTTGGATGGAAGAGGGATGAAGTGACAGGAGGTTGGAGAGAACAGCATAATGAGGAGCTTCATAACTTGTACTCTTCTCCAAGTGTAATTAGATGATCAAGTGAAGGAGGATGAGGTGGGCAGAGCATGTAGCACAAATGGGGGAGAATAGGAATGCATATAGGATATTGGTGAGAAAGCCAGATGGGAAAACCAAGACGTAGGTGGGTGGACAATATTAGAATGGATCTTAGAGAGACAGGCTGGGATGGTATGGAGTGGATTGTTCTGGCTTAGGATAGGGACCAGTGGAGGCCTGTTGTGAGCACGGTAATGAAGTTTCGGGTTTCATAAAATGCTGGGAAGTGTTTGAGTAGCTGCACAATTGGCGGTTTCTCAAGGAGGGCTGAGCTTCATGAGTGATTGAGTGAGCTATAAACTGTACCTGTATAGGCATATTAGTAAAATATTTTGCCTGCTGCTGCTACATTTTCCAAAAATACCTATATTAAATCCTACTGACTTTCCCAAAACTTTGTATGGTGACAGCCATATTTTTAAATGATTCTTGACAACTCAATAAACTGTGTAGATTAATTTGAGAAACCATGTACTGAGGGCATCTGTTCAATTCTGCATGTATGACAGTATAATACCATTGGTTGATACAGTTGAAAACCTATAGAAATAGGCAATAGTATTTTGGATAAACCTGCTGCTTCCATTTTCTTCTACTGTCCTGAAGATGGAGGCAGTGAGTTCCAATACAACACAGTGTGACATGCCAGAAGACCATAATCTTAATCCTCACTGCTGTTTGAACTTCAGAGGAAGTGTTCATTTGTTAACATGCAATTCATCTTGTTCAGTATCATTATGTTGCAGGAATACAAGGTCATCTCTTTCTTAGTAGGATATTAAATAGACCTATACACATTCTGGTTGCCAGATCAGTACAGCAGGAGGTTGAATTACAGATTATCTTGATATTGCAAATGTGCATGGGCATTGCAGTTTCATGTGTCATTCATTGTCTTTTTTCATTTTGTGGTACCATATTAATAACAGTGTTCATTGGTGTACATTTATCATACAGAGCAATTGGTTATAATGCTTAATACCTCATTGTTATTTTATTCTGGTAGATTTTGCACTTTTACCGAATTATCATCAGGTTGGTAGTGAATACTTTGCAAGGCTAACAGCTGAAGTGATATTGTCTAGTGTTGGGTCCATCCATAAATTTGTAATATATTCATACTGAAAATGCTTCATAACTGATCATTATGAAGTAAGAAGTGGATTAAAAATAGTTTTACAGTTGAAGTTAAAATGGCAGATTAGAGGAGGTGGCGTCATGAAATGTCTCTCTTTGTCTGTGTATAAAATGTTCAAAAGATTTCTTTAGATTGTTAAACATCACAAGGGAATTTTATCTGCTGTGGTGTAACCTACCCTGGGTATTTCTTTTTGCAACTCTAAATGCTTTACAGTCCAATATCATCAGTGTTTAAAAAGGAATTTATAGTGGTTCGATTGTAAACTGACCGCCTCTGTGGTCTAGTGGTCAGAGTTCCAGAGGTCCGGTGTTCGATTCCCGGCGCTACAAGATTTTCTAAGAAGTAGTTGGTCTGGAACAAGGTCCACTCAGCCTTATGAAGATAATTGAGGACCTATTTCAAGGAAATAGCGGCACCGGTGTAGAAAACGAGATTGAAGGCCGTGGGGATCCGTTGCGCTGATCATGTGACACCTTCTGTCAGCAAAAGTTGGCATTAACTTCTCCAACAAGTAGCTGTTGCTCAGATAGTATAGTTTTCTTGCGGACTACAGGCCACGGAGTGTGTTTTTTGTTTGTTTTCTATTGTAAACCAATATGTGCATCAGGTGTAGGTAATCACCTCTCTTGTCAGTATCAAAGCATTTAGAGAATCGGTAAAGTGACTGTTATTAATGGAATTGTGTATTATTTCTTGAAATGTCCTGTCATTATAAACTTTATTTATGTATAAGGGGTACCAGACCTTGATACGTCAGTAATAATGTGTTAGATAAGTGTTCAGTTGACATCTTGTCGCCTAATGGACATAAAGTTCAAAGAGAGTTGATCCCATATCTTGCCATATCAAAGCCACATTGATGTCAACACAGAAGAAGCCTCTCTGACTATTAAATGAGACAATTTACTGGTAACTTTCAGTTAATGGTCTTGACTACTAGTAAAGCTTAGTCATCCCTTTTAACACTTGTGTACATGAAGTTACATAAGGTGTCTTGTGTCAACAAGTAAATTGACCTTTATAAGCATCTGTTGATTTTGTTCTAGTTTACTGTCTGGTGACATTCTTGTGATATACGGGCATACTTTTGAAAAGTTGTGTCTTCCTTTCCTGTGCTGTAGGAAATTCTGAAATTTTGTGAGCACTGGTTTGGAAAGGAATTCTTTACTGTAGTATTTTTTACCAACGTTTCCCAGCACAGTAAATATAAATTGAAATGAACAGATTATATTTGAGGATTTTATGGTGCTGAAAATTACAGATTATGGTCATGTGTGTTTTGACACCATGTGTGTAGTTTGGTAGATGGTTACTAGCCTCTCATTTGCACCCTGAAGGAACTAAAGATGGCTCTTTCTCAGAATAAGTTGGGTACATTCACCAGACTCAGCATTTTTCTTTCTGGGATCCTTGCCAGCTGTCATAGCTACAGCTACCATGTATGTCCTTCTTCGAAGAAGCTCCTGTTAGAGGCTTCCTTTAAAGTAATTGGTTGGGGGAATAGGTAAAAAGATAAAGGTGTCCCTTTGCTTAATTTAGCACAGTGCCATGAAAATATATGGCATATTAAAGGTGTACATGCATGCATTCTTAATTTCCGCACTAAGCTGAGATGAATGGTTAATTTCATGCCCCAGTTGCTTTGTGCCTGGAGAAATAGCCCCAGTACCCATTGATTAAGAGTCTGTGTGGGGACCAAGTGCCAGTCTTGGACCCTGTGGAAAGGAGGAAATCCTTTTGCCTCTGCCAAGAATCAGATCCTGATTCTCCAAGAATAAAATTTCCATACACACATTTAAACTTTTTAATAATACTTTTTTTCAGCTGACCCTAGTGTTATGGGCCCCTGTAGGATAGAAGATAAACATTTTTTAAAAATAATTTTAATTTTTTAATAATATTGGGTATATTTCCTTTGGGGCACGTAGTAGCATAGTTGGTTGAGGCACTATGCTACAAGCTGGAAGGTCGCGGGTTCAAGTTCCGATGAGGTCATTGGATTTTTTTTTTTAATTTACTAATCCTTCCAGCAGCACTATGGCCCTGGGGTTGACTCAGCCTCTAACGGAAATGAGTAACAGGAATTAATTAAATAATTTTCCTGGAGAGTAAAGCGCGGCCGGCGCGTAAGGCTGACAACCTTACTGCCATCTTTCAGCTGATTCTCTAGATAATGTGGGACCTTCAACGTCTCACAACCCTATGGGCCTTCACAGCCTGTTACAGGAATAGCTTTACTTTTCTTTTTATATTTTCTTTATTTTTTTCCAATTTTTGCCTTTTTCAAAAAATCGCAATTTGTGTGGCAGATGCTTGGAATACCCTCTTCCCCCTTCAAGTACCCATGAATGCTGCTCCACAATTTTTGGTAGTTCCTTAACTCTTAGCTTTATGTGGTTATGAGAATGACACAAATTTGATTTAATTGGGAAGGTTTTCAGAATTTTATTTTGTGGAGTTTGTCGTTCAAATAATAGACGGAATAATAAAATATGGCGTTTTCTTGGACCTGTCTTTCTCTGGGTAATCTTACTTTTTGGTATTTCAAGTGCAAAAATATATCTCATGGAAAGGATTTATGGCTTGGTGAAATATTAAATTGTCAGATGATTGGAAAAGTCTATAATGGCTGGTGCCAGTTGATATTTTTTGTTGTTGATATCATTGGTTCACCATCCCTGGTGCAGATAGCGAGTGCTGATTGATTATGAGTCAGCATTTGTGTGGAGTGTATATATGTTCTTTTGATAGAATAAATGCAGTAAATATAGATTGAGAACATAAAGATCAAGGTCAGACATGTAGTTAAGTTTATGGAAGAGATTCCTATTCATCAAATGACGGAACCACGAGGTGGTAGACACTCAACTTCCTTTAAAGAGAGGCAGTATAAAGGACACGGACCAAATTGGTTCTAAAAATTTTAGCAAATCCTTTTTAAAACCACACTTGTAAACGGACTAATTGGTGTAATTTATAAATATTTTAATGTATTCATGCATGTCGCTGTAGTTGTTAAAGGATCAGATTTTGTATTCATGGCATTGTGATGATGTATGTAAGTATGTACTGATATTGGCCAAATACATTGTGCTCGTAATGTTAGTTTCTGCCTGTGTTGATACATCCTTCTGAAGATAGTCTCTAAGACCGAAACATGACAAGGGTGAAAGATCAAAAAGGAAAGAAAGAAAAAACATTTTATGAGTCACACTGAACAGAGTTGTAATTATGGATGAGAACATAAAGGTCAAGCTCAGACATGCTGCTACGTTTATGGATGAGAACATAAAGATCAAGGTGAGACGTAATGGTATGTTTATTGATGAGAACATAAAGATCAAGGTCAGACATGCCGTTAAGTTTATGGATAAGAACATAAAGATCAAGGTCAGGCATGCTGCTATGTTTATGGACTACCAAGTAAGCATTGACCCAGTAGCCTCGGGGCTAAGCTGCCAAACATGCATTGACTTTTGTAGCTTTGTAGATTTGGTGTAATGTTCAGGTGGTTTCTTGAGGGAGCAGATGAAAGGCTTCCACAACTTGCTGATTTAGAAACCCACGTTTACTTGAATGCGTGGGAGGCCCTACTGACAACATATTTTACTGCCGGCATAACTCTCAGGTTCGTTTAGGCACACAGCCCCACCACTACAACGTAGTGAGTAGAGATACCAGTGGCGGTATCGTACTACAGGTGCTCCTCTTCATATGAGAATTTGAAAAAAAAGTGTTTCCATTTTAATATAATCAACTAATTTAGACTGATTTTAATTAATAGTGTTCACTTCAGTATAAATTTATCTATCTATCTATCTATCTATCTATGGCTTATAGGCCTTTGTTTGACCTTGGCCACTTTTTCAGTTTCTTGATCTTTAACACAGTCGGTAGGATTCCTTGGACAGGAGATGAGCCCACTGTAAGGCTGCTACCTGCACACAGACATCTATGCCTCAAGTGGGATTTGAAGCCATGGTCTCGCTGTTTGAGCAGGCAAAGACAGTTCATGCCTTAGACCGTGTGGCCACTGAGATTAGCTTCAATGTGAATTACTTGCGGACAAATCAAGAGAGGCCAGTAAAATGGGAAGCGGTTTAGTGTGTGGTGGTGTGCAGGAGAAATGCAAGGACACAAAGAAAAATTATGTTTGTTTTATGCAGTTTCACTCTCTGTGACTTTATTTTGGAACACAGTTGTCACATAAATTTAGGAATGCCTGTGCTGTTGTGTTAGACTTAACTCTTTAACATTTGGGAATTGTGATTTGCAACTTGTAATAAGGCTCACCTTTCTTTCTGCTTTGAGGTGATGATGATGTTGGGGCAGCACTCATCACATCAACCCCTGGTGGCGGACATGGGGACTGCTTCTGAAGCATGGATACTAACTCCACATTTATTGTGTGTTGTCTGAAATTCTAATTGAATCTGAGCAATGGAACTGCGTGAAACTGTCAGCACATGCTACCACAGCATTTAGGGTGTCTTGGTAGAAGTTTGTATTGAGCTGTGAATTTCCGTGTTACAGGCAAGTGACCGAGCTGAGCCAAATGCACACCGTCTAGAGAGATTGTGGCATGAGCACGTGGCACAGAATGGCGAGAAGTCATCATTGTCACATGTTATGTGGAGGTTTTGTCGTACGCGTTGCATTGTTGCCATGGTATTCATGGCATTTGCTGTTGTCTTCCAGTTCCTAGGACCTGTGAGTTTAAGAAAATGTTAGAGTTTGTTTGACATGTTTCAGTATTTAAATATAAATTATCCTTATTTTCAGTTTATCATTAACTAGCTTCTCTCCCAGTATATAATAGGAAGTGTACTACATTGGAAGGTTATAAAGGTTGTCATAATATCATGAATATGAATTCATAGAATTGTAAGGAAATTAACCAATCCACTACAATCTAAAGCCTTGCTGTTTTGTAAATTGTTAAAAATTTATGTTGTTTTAGGAATAGCATGGTTTTTCTGTTTTCTAAGCTCTCTTAAATACAAAAAAAAATACTAGGGCTGAGTGTTCTCATCCAGTAAGTATGAAAAAGCTCCCCATGGAGGTTCTCTACAATAATGCTAAATTTGATCAAAGTAGGTGCAGTTTAGTGGAGTATTATAAAGAACATACAGACACACAGTCCTATTTGTAGGTGTAAGAGATTTAATTTCCTTTTATTGTGTTCTCTTTGGTAGGCATTAATACAGCAGTTCATTCTTCAGTATGTAGAAGACAAATCAGTGCCCCTGTGGTGGGGTTTAACTCTGGTGTTTATTCTCTTCTGGTGCCAGCTGCTACGGAATTATTGTTTTGGAGCAGGCTATGTGATGGGATTACATACAGGTACAAATATGCAGGGTGTCCCAGGAGGAAAGATCAGTATTCTGGGAGATCAGAGTATCTGTCATTCTGAACAAAAACGTGTGTGTGTGTGTACATGTGTCTTATTGCAAATCGTTTCCAAGGTAGAGCTATTTCACTGTACAGTTCCAATTTATTGATAAGAAAGGGATATTACATACTGTTTCTAATTCTGGTATTTATTGTTCAAGTGATAATGTTGGTACAGCTTACCTAGCATAATAAATTTTCAAAAATTACACCATCAACATCAGTGCACTTTGCAGCTCGTGTGAGGACATGGCATGTTACTTGTGTGTACAGTGAAATAGCTCTATCTTGGAAACCATTCAGAATAGGACACATGTACCTATACACTTTTTTGCTTAGAATGTCCGATACTACGACCTCTCAGAATATTGATCTTTCCTCCAGGGCCATCCTGTGTAGGATTAGGATTTAAAGTTTGTGCAACAACTGAAAGTGATAAGCTGTCCTCAGGTGACCAGCCACATACTACTTTCAACATTATGGGAATGATAGTCACTATAAAGGAGTTCTTGTTGAGTGCATGGGTGTTTTATGCCTTAAGGTTGCCCATTCAAGGTATGGCATACTCTCAAAGATGTTTTAGACCATCTGTACCCATAATTGGCCAAGTAAGTTTAATATTCTCAAAGAGAATAATGGTAATCATTGTAAATGTAATAGTTGATGCTACAAATGTAATGTATGAGGAGTTACATCTTTGGGCATATAACACCATGTAGACCATTGAAAGTTAGCCAGTTTTTTGGGGGGGAATATGTCGTCTCCATCTTCAGGGTTGAAGAGTAAGCCAAACAAGAAACCAGCTTGAAACAGGCAGTAAGCTCCTAGAAGACGGAACCCTCCATAGCCTCCGCATTGAGAACGTCAGGTTATAGTATACATTCATCCCGTTGAAATGTATGATGGAGATCATATTTCTGATGACATTTGCTTATGTTTATTTATGATTTGTTTTATGTCAGTAGCTCAGAGGATATAGTGCCTAATTCTAGGGTTATTATTGAATTTGAAAGGATATAAAAGGAAGCAGTTGTTGCCTATTTTAAGTTACTGTCTCCGCATTTGCCTCGAGGGACTGAGTGGAACCACAGATAACCTCTGACGGGTTAGTTGGAGTCATGGCTGAGATAAAACTGGACACTTCCCGAATACAAGTCAAAAGTGTTGTAGTCGATTGCTCCACAGCTCTGCTTCCTGCCTGCTTCACACTGATTTCTTGCTTGACTTATTCTTAAGCCCTGAAGATGTAAGTGACATACTCCTACAAAATGTTGGTTGACTTTCAGCAGACTACACAGCATTATATCCCAGATGACAGAACTCTTTATAACAACTGCTGTGAGAACCTCGAATCATACATATTACTCACATGTTAATAAAGCACAACCTGGAGGTTGTGGTGCAAGGGCCGAGGAGGCGTACCCCTCATACATTCATTAACATGTTATTAAGTACATACTTTGTTGTTGCAAAGTGATATGAATTAAGTTACAATCCAATTTGTGATCCCTCACAGCCATTAGGGTCCAAGGGGCAGTGCAGCATCTCATCTACAAGAAGATGCTTTTATTGCGGAGCGGAGGTGAGAGAGTTCTTGGTCAAGTACTCACGTTCTGCACCAACGAGCAGGAGCGCCTATTTGAAGCTTGCCATATGGGCATTTTGCTGCTTAGTAAGTGAACCTTGCTTGCATATACCCTTTCGCGCAATCTAGACCAAATTTTAATTTTTAATTTGGGTAAATGTGAAGGTAAAGCTATCCCTGTAACAGGCCATGGAGGCCCATAGGGTTGTGAGAGGTTGAGACTCCCACATTTTTTAGACAGTGGGCTCACAGATGGCAGTGAGATTGTCAGCCTTTTGTTCTGGCTGCCCTTTACTCCACAGGAAGATTCTTGGTACTCAATTCTGTTAGAGGCTGAGGCTACCCCAGGGCCATAGTGTGGCTGGAAGTATTAGATCAAATGAAAAATCCATTGACCTCATCAGGAATCAAACCATGAACTTCTGGCTTGCAGCATAGTGCCTCAACCAACTGTGCCACTGCGTGCCCCTTTAATTTGGGTACCAATCCCATAGTCCTTTTCCATACTTTTCTTTTATCTGCCCTATGGTCTTTCCTCTTCCTTCCTACCCCTCCTTAACGTTAAAATAGATAAAGAATTTGCAATATGTTGCTGTTATAGAGGAGTAACAATGTGGAATTAATCTTATTGTTTCTTGAAGAAAGCAGTCTTCTGGGATTTGGCACTGTGTATATGTGGTGTTAACGGTGCCAAATCCCAGAAGACTGCTTTCTTCATAGTCACCGCCGTGAAAGCCTCAAATCTTACTTATTGTTTCTTACTTTCCATTGAAAATTGGAACCTGACCTATATTTCCAGCTTTTATATGTGGTTTATTATTATCCTTTAAGAGACGGGCAATTTAAATTCCCGTAATGGCAGCAGGCCGGAGTTAATTTAAATGTCCGCCATTGTAGAGTATTAAAAATTGTAAGCATGTTACTGAAAATGCTGTGATTTCTACAATTTTTGTGATAAACGAACGAAATAAACGCTGCTTTTATCTAGAAAGAATATAGAATCAGATATTGTAAGTTACAGATTTTAAAATCTGTAAAATTTTTTACACAGATTCCAAAAATTTTTTTCCCCAATTTTGATCGTCTGTTCACAAATATGCATACAGTTTCTGCACAAAACGTTTCTGCAGTATAAATGCATGCTGCTGACATCCTCTCTTACTATGTCTTATCTGGCAAAAGGGGAGGAAGTTTATGTTTGTATTGCACGTTCTCCAGTCACGGCGGAACCTTTCTGTATGCACGAGTGTGGGCAAAGTCTTATTGTACTTTGTCATTCAGAAACTCTGCCTGTTTATGTCTCGGACTAGACACACACAGGTAGTGTTCTTGGAATATCCCCGCAATGCCCCCTTGCTTCCTCGCCACTTTCAGAGTCATCTGTACCACATTCTGAATCAGTGTCATTTATCAGCGGCTTCTCAATTTCGGCTTCTTCCATGCGAAATGAGGCCATGGTGGGTAGTTGAAATTGTGATGTTTTATAAGCGTTCTGATTAGAGGAGGCCACTCGACATCACTGGCTGACTTCCTCTAATATGAGACTGAGGTGTCGTGTGTGCTCTTCACGTGGGAAACTGAGTTACATCCGGACAAAGTGCATGAATTGCGATGTCGGACTCTGCGTTCAGTTAGATGACGCAGGAGGGAAGACTGTCCACTTATAAAGCGGGTGCCCAAAAATAATGGAAGTAGAACAAGAATTTATATCTTAAAATTAGAATTTAAAATACTTTGCGCATGCCTGGACTGCGCGTACCCATACGGTGTCGCACAGCCACTCGGCTATACTTTAAAGGTCTCCATACAGTGTCGCTAGGCTCTTAAAGGTTATTATAAAATGGCAAGGTTGTCCCTGTGCATATCAAATTAAGCACTACACCATGAAGGTGTATGGGATGGAGAATGTATATATCCACATATTCTTCACTTTGGCACTGGTTAGAAGTTAGTGGTCTGTTTCACGCCCCGGTCGCTTTACCCCTCAGGAGTGAGCCCTTAGTACCCATTGGATAGGAGGTTGGGTGGGCCCCAGAACCAGTCTGGATGATGTGAAGAGGAGAAATATTTTACCCCTAATAGGACTTGAACTGTGACCCATCGGCCATCCATCTTGTACTTAGTCACTATACTGACTGCACTGTCCTGGTCCTTTTTATTGTTATAACAAAAAGAAATCTAAAGCATGAAGATCAGTGTCTTCTGGGTATGTAATCTGGTAGCCATTACCAACATTCTGGTGGAATTTGCTGTTTATGTCTTCCAAGTAGAAGAGTCAGCCAAACAGGGAGGCAGATGACCAGAACTGCAACCCTGAGTAAAACGGTAGACATAGGCAAGCTTTGAAATGAATACTTGGTCCTTGAAAGGATCAAGAATCTTCCTCATATATTTGTTTTAGTATTTGCCTCTCCTCTGTTGTTCACTTTCCCCAGTCATGGTCCTTCCACTCTCCATATATCTGTATAGCTTTCTTCCATGCTTGGATTACTCTCCCGACTTGAGGATGGAGACAGTATGTTCCTCAGAAACATTGACAATGATTTCGCAGACTACATGGCACCATGTTCCAGAAGACAGTGTTCTATAGGTATCACCATGTTATCTCAAACCTCACAAATCAAGACTGATTTGTGGTGCTCAGTTTTCTAACTGTGTATTAATTTGGGTTTTCTTAATACAGCCACACCTGTGATGTTTGTGATGTGTCTGACATATTCACTTTTGGTGCTGGGCCCTTGGGCACTTGTTGGCAACATTGTCATCCTCCTCTTCTACCCCATCATGGTGAGTAAAGCTCTTACCAACAAACCATTTCTGTTTAGAATTGTGTGGTATTCTGAATATCATGGTACTTCTCATACTGACGGCAACACAGAGAGAGTGAAGGGATTGAGACTGTTAGTCAGTTGGCAACTTCAGGATTGGGTCAGTTGTTAATAGAATCTGAACTGGCATACAGAATTACTGGGGTTTTGCACTTTTTCCATTGTCCGGAATTTTAGGTAATAGAGGACACGACGTTTCTGAAACTGGATCTGTTTCTGTCTTCAGGTGAGAAAGGAAGACACCTACTCAGTTGGGCCCCTTAGAAAAAGCTAATTTCAATCACTGGACACTGAGATTAGCTCTTTCTAAGGGCCCAACTGAGTAGGTGTCTTCATTTCTCACCTGAAGACAGAAACAGATCCAGTTTCAGAAACGCTGTGTGTCATCCGCCATTGTCAGAACCCTTTAGAATCTACTGAATTGGCATGTCTGTTACCAGGCAAGCTGTCAGTGTTTGGATGAACCAGGGTTACCAAAAATATAGAAAGACGTACCTAGACAAAAATATCATGAAGAGTTTCCTTTGGGAACTTCACCTAAAGAACTAAGTGACTCTTAGCGCTAAATGGAACCAGATAACTGGAGTACTGCAGAACACTGTCACTTCAAAGGAGATTTTCAAACTGGGGCCAGTGAATAACCCCATCAGCAAATGTAGCTAGACTATATAGCATTGGCTAGAGGGATGATAGATCAGTAAGAAATTGGAAAGAATTTGAAAGGTAGCAGTGATGATGTAATCCAGGCACTCTCCTGGCTTTTGCTTGGAGGGACTGAGGAAGACTGTGAAAAACCTCAGTCAGACTGGCCAGTGTTCCAGCTGAGATTCAAAGTTAAGTGCCTCCTAAACAGTGTTAAGAGCATTACCACTATGCTGTCTTGTTTGGTGGACTGCTGATAATGAAATCAAATTTGTTTAAGGGAAGAAATATGGTATGTATGATAAATTGTGCATTTCAACTTCTTTTGGCTTAAACATATGGCAGTTTGCTGTTTCAAATTAATTAACTGTCAGCCATTTATGTTCTGGTATTTTCTTTGATTCTAATTCTTTTAAAACTTAAGGAAAACTTTGAGGGGAAAAGAAGGCAAAATAAATTATTTATTTTCTGTTGCTTGATCAGAAATAGAAAAGGGCATAAAATATTCTTATATTTTTTATGAGGAAAGACCATTTCTCTACACTGTTGTAGCCATCCTTGTAGTTTCCTAACTCGGAGAGAGAAACCTGACTCCTCTCAGGTCATGTTGACTGGCCACAACTTGGGTGACTGGGAGCACACTTAGGTACAGAACCATCCACACGCAAACAACACCAATCGACAGTTCTCAGAGGATTTCTTACTAACTGCATTAATACTGTTACAGATGCACAGTAGTAATCAAACGTAAGGGTGTCACTTGGGTTCAGCCCTGTTTACTGAGGCCTAATAGTCACAATAGTGTGAGAAGAACAAAACAAACAGGTGGTTGGGGATACGCTGGGTGTGTGTCCCCAGTGAGTGAAATTTTCAATGTTCCAGGTAGCATCTGTGAGTACAGGCAGCTGTCCTGGTTTACAAAAATTCTGGCAAAAGATATCATACTTCAATTTTGATTAGCTAGACTGGGGAAGGTGGGAGGCTGCTTAATATGCCTCTTCAAATAAAAAAAAGAACTCAAACTAAAATTTAGGGTAGTGTGGGTTCAAAAAGACCCTGCTAAAATTACAGCTTCTGCACCAGTCAGTGTTAGGATTTCGAAAGAACCTGGTTTCATGTTTCCCATTAAATTGGACTAATTAACTGTTGTGCAGCTGACTTCAAGCTTGGCCTAAGCCCCCCTCATTAAACCTGGAAAGGGACCTAACTCTCCAGAGAAAGAGAAAAAAAAAACACTAATTGTGAAAAGAAAGTAATTAATTTAAAAGAACCATGATCATACAAAAATAAATTAAATTTTCTCCTAATTTCAACTGCTTCACTATTTGCTTTTAGTTTGTTAATGATACTTCCAATAGCTTATATTGAATAGCATTGGATGGTAGGATTGTTATTGACCAAGGAGTGGGCATGTGCATTTGGTGGTTATCTGTGATCATGGAAGCAGAGGAATCTCCACTGCTGAGCAATGAATAGCTAAAACGTAACAGACTGAGAGGGCTTAGTGTAGTTATTAGCAGAATGCATAGATTAATTAGAGAGTTATAAATATTTCTAGCTAGGAGTGATAAGTAGTCAATAAATTCAGAAATGAATCCAAAACCCTTGCCTAGTCAGGAAACATGTGACAACTGGTGTCAGAAGTGAGACTGTACTGAGTAGTTGCTTTGTGGTATTCTCAAGATGGTCCAGGTGATGGAACACCTGCTGTCCGGCCAAGAAGCGATGGGGGCTGAAATGAAGGACGCAAGGGCCAAATAAAGGCCAATCAAGAAAGGCTGAAAGCAGAGATGGAGACCAAGATACACACCGCCATAAACACCATTTTAGAGAGAATGGTGACCACAATAAAGGTCTGATAAATCAAGAAAATGTAGTTCCTGTTGCCAGTATATTGTCATGTGTATGAGTGTGACTGTAGACAGGTTTTGGATTGATTACCGGATTTATTTTACTCCTTTTTTAAGTACAGCGCGTTTCTACACTCTACATTTCACTATTACACACACACTAATGTCCACAGGGATGTCCCTCTTCTTCTGGGTTCCCAAACTGTTCCCAGCCTCAGCTACCAGCTTTTAACAGTGGGCATTCCTCTGCACCCAGAGTCGTGTTGTTGCAGGCTGGTGGCCCTCTCACACCAATTTCCTGCTCTTCTAACTTACTCACTAACTGCCCTGCTTATAACATCTCAGCACAGACTGCACAGAAAAACTGTTCTTCTGTTGCTGTTTCCAATTTTTGTCATGCAAACATGCTTGTTTGCGAAGGCGTTACTCAGTAATGGCTGTTGTATAGGTGTTTCTTTTGCATTCGTTGCATAGCACTGGGTTTACATGCCAGAATATTTAAAGAAGGAATAATCAGACACCTTTGATGAAGATTGCGCTTGGGTGATTAGCACACCTGCTCTGTATTTGAGATGTCCCAGTATCAAATGTCGGATGAAAGACAAGTTGTTGTGCTAAGGATTTCATGGCTTTCCTCATTGCCTGTAAGCAGATGCTGAGATAATATCTCAAACTGTGACACTTTGTAGGGATTGAGGTTCTGACATCAGTGGTTATGAAGAGTTCCATCTTCTGGGGTATAATACCATGTAGTCCATTGAAAGCCAGCTGACATTTCAAGGGAACCTGTCGCCTTTATCTTCAGGGTCGAAGAATAAGCCAAGCAAGAAACCATTGTGAAGCATGTAGCAAGTAGAAACGTTGGTTGACTTTGAATGGGCTATGTGGTGTTACAGTCCCAAAGATAGAAGTCTTTATGACAACTTTCTTTCACATCATGTACTTACTTTGGGCTATGGTCCTGTATGAACCATCATGGCCTGCTTTGTGACAGATGCCCGTTCTTTACCATAATTTACCTTTAGTCTCCATCTATTCACTTTCAGATCATGTAAATCATTCTCTGCATCTTCCAGCCATGTCACTCTGGGCTTTATAACTTTTCTTCTACCTTCTTGCTTAATTTCCACACCAGTCAGGAATTCCCTGATCATATCATTTCATTCTCTATAATTGATTGAAAGTGTCATTAAATTAAGTTTAAATAAATGTGATTAAGTAAACATGAGTATGTGATCATTTTTCTTTCTGTTATGCAGGGAGCTATAGCAAATGTGACCAGCATGGTACGGATCAAGACGGTGAAGGTGACAGATCAGAGAGTAGGTCTCATGAGTGAGATTTTAAACAGTATTCGCCTTATCAAAATGTATGCCTGGGAAGATAGTTTTGCCAATAAAATAGCAGGTAAGTATGGAGAACATACAAAATTAAGAAAATGGGATGTGATGTCATGTAGTCCGAATGCAAATTCACTGACATTTTGTAGGAATGTACGACCTCCACCTTTGGGGTCAATCCTGAAGATTGAGGCAGTGCGGTTCTCCAAAATTAAAGTGCAGTTTTACTGGACTGCATAGTGACAGCAGAAAACATTGTTCTTCATAGCCACTGCTGTGACCGCCTCAGATCAAACATATGAGTATCAAAACTAAATTTGTAGTAACAGTAATTCACTGGTTCATCACTACGTATGTCCTAGGATGTGGTGCCACATAATCTGATACATATTTATTAATATTTCAGAGGAACTTCCTGCTTCCATCATCAGAGTAAAAGAATATTCAGTTGTAAGTTAAACCTATTTGGGCCATATGATCACTTTAATTTTATACCACTCCCATTGTTTCACTTTTAGTTGTAGTTTGTCCCCTCCCTTCCCTATGACACTTATCAGTTTTTCCCACATGCATTACTTGTCTAGCCTGAAGATAGAGGCAGTAGATTCCTCTGGAATGTTTGTACGCCTCCACCAAACTATACGGTGCCATGTCCCAAACTGTAATCTTCATAGTCATGCTGTGAGAACCATAGATCTCACACCAATAAAGCTAACTGCTTTCACTGCGCAGTGTTATAATTTACCTTCATCTTGTTATCAGGCATTGCACAAATAGTTCTGCAGAATGTAGAGAAGTGTGACTGACAGATGTCTATTAGTTTTGTTGTCCTTTGACAGTTCTGGTGCAGAAAACAGAAATTAATGGCACTGACCACGCGACACCCTGTATCATCTAAAGTTGGCACTAACTTCGCCAAACAAGTGGCGGTTGCTCGGTCAGTTAAAACCAGGCAGTTTGTTTTGTATGTTTATGTTTGTCCTCTGACAGTTGAGATTGTCACCAATCATTTGAAAGTTAGTACAGGTACAAGTCATATGTTTGTCTAAATAAGTGATATTTTAAAATTTGTAATTAGAATATCAGTAGGTGTGTAGTGTTAGGTTTATAGATTGTAGTGGCCAAATGCTTGTAAAAATAACTACAGCTTCCATCTGTTTATTTTTTTTAATGATTTCTTCACTAGCTTAGACATTATAGCATCAATTGATACGATTAGTGAATTGGAAAGGACTTGAAAAAAACTTGTTGTGGCCTGATTTGAGGTAGTGTCACAATGTTGCTTAGAGGACCTGAGGAAAACCACAGAAATGTAAGTCAAGATAGGTAACTTTGAGGCCAAGATCTTGGCCTGGGATTTCCTGAGTATGGGAAAGGAGTGCTGTGTACTCAGCCACAGTGTTTGCTACAAACTCTTGAAGAATCTGGATATATGTAAATGTTTGTGCAGATGTACGAAACATGGAGAGGAAACAACTGCAGACAGCAGCGTTTTTGCAGTCATTCAGTAACACTATTACACCTGCCATCACCCTGTTGGCATCAATCTCCACCTTTCTTGGATACAGGTACTGTATTAAATACAGCACGTCTGTATGAATCTCTGACAGTTTAATATAGTATTATGGTACAAGAGAGAAAGTCAGTAAATAGGTCACAAATGAATATAAAGCATAAAACATGTGATGTTCAAAAGTGGGAAAACGTTTATTTCTCGACATACCCTCCACCAATATTGATACACTTGTCGCACCTCTGTTTCAACCTCTTTGTTATCAGTGAAACATTTGCCACCAAGGCTGAACTGCTTTATGCAAGAAACGCTTCCCAACATAAACAGGAAACATTTCTTTATGAATATCCTGTACAATGAGTCCTTTTGCCCACAAATATGCACAACAGAAAGCTGCTCTTTGGTAATACACTCCTCAAGCACAGTCGCCATTTTGACTACTGAAACTGGCTACCTAGGCTGTCATGAAGCTGGACTGTCCTGCTACCTAGTGATACACATAGAGAACATATTACATTCATTACAGCTGTTTTACTTCCATTTGTGACCTATTTACTGACTCCCTCATGGTGTAGAAACTTTTTAGTGTGTTTATAACTGACACTGGGGGCACGCGGTAGCGTAGTTGGTTGAAGCACTATGCTACAAGCCGGAAGGTCGCGGGTTCAATTCCCAATGAGGTCATTGGATTTTTTCAGTTGACCTAATCCTTCCAGCCGCACTATGGCCCTGGGGTCGACTCAGCCTCTAACAGAAATGAGTACCAGGAATTAATTAAATAATTTTCCTGGGGAGTAAAGCGTGGCCAGCACATAAGGCTGACAACCTTACCGCCATCTTTGGGCTGATTGTCTAGATAATGTGGGACCCTCAACGTCCCACAACCCTATGGGCCTTCATGGCCTGTTACAGGGATAGCTTTGCTCTTTTACTTTTATAACTGACAGTGTGTTTATATAAGTTATTATTTCTGTATAGAAAACAATACGCAGCCTACAAATTGGATTGTTTTAATTCCCTCATGTGCAAATTTGAATGCAGAAGGACCCATTTCTCATACATATTCTGGTAGCCTTACCTTGTGAATGTGGCAGTACACTCAACTCACTGTTTTCCAGAATATACAGGCAATGGATGTGTCAGTTGCATGAGGAGAAACTCTTACAAATATATTGTACCGCACACTCTAGTAGACAAGCCTGTACAGTATTAAACATAGGGAATATAGTGGATTTATGGAAAGATTTGATGTGTACTGTACTGAAATTGTACCTGCAAGAGAGGAGATGATGGACAGTGCTGCTGGTGTCAGCTGGGTGAACTAGTCCATGGGAGTGAGCATCACAACCTTTTTCTTAAAGTAACTACTTTCATTTTCTTTGAAATTTGTACCAGTTGTATGAGAATTCCAGATCCTTGGATACTGGATTACTGGGAGTTAGTTGTACAAAGTAACTAAAACTTTGAAGCAGGAGTAATACTTATATTATGAAATTAAAGTTCACCAATGCATTTAAGAAGAAAAAGAATAATTGGGAATGAGGGTTCAAAACACATCCACAAAGTCTCCTGCAATACTTGTACATTGATTTAGTAGTGATGGCTGAAGTGCATGAGGGTGAGAGTTGCATAGCTAATTTAGTATGTAAGATTTGAGGTTTTCACCGCGGTGACTATGAAGAATGCTGTTTTCTGGGATTTGGCCCCATGTAGATATTGTGTAAACTGATGTTTTCGAGGAACGTATCGCCTTCATCTTCAGGGTATAAAAATCCGCAAGTGCCACATCCCAGAAGACGGCATTCTTCTAATTTAATATTTTTCATAATATTATATTTCAGCACCGTGTTTCATTAAAGTATCACTCGTCTATCTCCTCTGTAATGCGACACTTTTTTTTATTTCAGATGACACAAACTTAACGTCTTTCATTCTGATTGTACATTCCCTCAGTGTGTGTTTTCAACTTCTCACTAATATAAGTAGGCCCTAAGTATCACTTAGAAGCAGGTAGTTGCATATGGATTCAGTATTTATTCATTATAAAGGAAGAACTCATCATTGTCTTAATTATTTAATTTGTAGTTCCTTCTGCTGATTGCACCAGTTCAGTGTATACTATAATTTTACAGTGTCATTTTGTTCAGTTTTACAGGTAACAACTTGTTTGCAACAGAGGCCTTTACAATATTTTCTGTGTTCACTGCAATGCAATTCACAGTTGGAACGTTACCATATGGTATCAAGTGCCTTGCAGAAGCTAATGTCAGCTGTCAGAAACTTCAGGTAAATGTCTTTCAATTAATTCAGATGATAACAGTTGGCACAGCAGATATTTGCTTATCAGGTGAGACAGCAAGATAAAATAGAATACTTTGAATGTAGGAATTGTAACATGTATGTATTAAATTGTTCTGTGAGTCCGTTAAGTTTGCATTGGAACCAAGATGTAACCTGGAGTATTCAGTTCATTTTGTCCATTTATTTGCTCAGTTGCAAACATTAAGCCAGTTCTGAAGGATTCTGACAGTGATATATCAGACTTTGAATTATTGGGTCTCTGGACTTGTCCAGTATATAGTTTAGCAGCTACCTGTATGGGAATCAGTTGAGGCTGCCTGTTGATTCACATTGTCCAGTGTTCCAGTGACAGAACCAACTGAGCAGGTACCTCCCTACCTTTTTGTATGAAGCAGGAAACAGATCTGGTCTTCGATTCTTGGCTGGACACCAAATGTCATGATTGAGAGTTTCAATGTGGTATCCATGCACAAGACTGCACAGTGTCACAACCCAGCAACCCACAATCTCATTACTTCTTGTAAGTGTCATTATTTTATTGTGAACTTTTGTGTTTGCAGAAGTTTGTTCTGAGACCCAATTATGAATCACCAGTAATTAAATCAGTTGGAAGGAATATAATTGAAATCAAGGACGGAACCTTCTCATGGGAAGCTTCTCAGCTAGATGAACCGCGTAAAAAGGGTATGTCTGTGTTTGTGTCAGATAATTTTATGCATTTGTGGATGCTGTATAATTAATTAATTGTAGATCTTGCTTTTGTTGTAATTATTCTCTGACATGTCTTCCATTTTTCATATCAGTGTTGTTTTCTCTTCAGAACAGTATTAGACATAGTTATTTAAAAACATTAATGCCTCGGTAAATTTTACGATGAAGTGATGCACTTTTTGTGCAGTTCAGATCTTTTTCAGTCTGCATTCCATGTTCTGTAAGTAGGGAGAGGCATATTAAATCTGTGTCAGTGTGTATACATATGTGTGTTGATGCATGTTTGCCTGCACATCTTGTGCGGGTGTGTGTGTGGGCACGTGTGCGTGCAAAAAAAAAAAAAAGGTAAATCTATCCCTGTCACAGGCTGCGGAGACCCCTAGGGTTGTGAGTTGTCAAGGCTCCAACATTTTCTGGACCGTTGGCTCCCAGATGGTAGTAAGGTTGTTATTCTTCAGCTCTGGCTGGAGTGCTGCTGGAAGGATCAGGTCAATTGAAAGATCCAGTGACATTATCAGGAATTGAACCCATGACCTTCCAGCTTGTAGCATAGTACCTCAACCCACTATGCTACCGTGTGCCCCCATGTATGTGTATGTGTCTGTCTGCCTCACATCAATAACATCTGAATCAGCTTCACCATGTCTGGGTGCGAATGACACAAGAAATTGAGGCTACTGTGATTCACAGAATAAATAGTGATTGCCTCCCAAGCTCCATTAACCAATTTGTCCTTGCAGTATGTTGTTTGTTTGGTAGGAATTGAATGTTTATATATAATTTAGATGAATTTCAGATTTTAGAGAATTAAGCTGAAGCTTAAGTAAATGTAGAAATAATTTTAAACCTTTGATTCTAGGGCAGAGAAAAAAACATCAAAGTAAACAGGGACAGAAAATGACAAATGGGATAGGAGCAACTGCAGAGGAGAAAGGACAATTTATTTCATCTGAAGAAAATCAACCCATAGAAACACTACACAATATAGAGCTGGAAGTTTCAAGGGGAAAGTTGGTTGGTGTGTGTGGCAGTGTGGGCTCAGGAAAGAGTTCGTTACTGTCAGCCATCATGGGAGATGTAAGTGTTAAAATAATAATAACAACAGTAGTAATAGTAGTAGTAGTAGTAGTAATAATAATAATAATAATAATAATAATAATAATAATAATAATAATAATGACTGGTATGAATTTAAATGACACTACAGGCAATAAGATATTACTCGATCATCAAGATAATATTTGGCAAGACAACCATGAAGTTCTTCAATATGCAGTTTTCTCCCAACTCCAGTTACTTCCCCCCTCTTGCATCAAAACATTCTCCTCAGCACCCTGTCCTCAAACGCCCTTAGTCTGTTTTTCCCTTTAAATAGAGAGATAAAGTTTCATATTGAACAGATATGTGTAATGTTATGCATACTGATTTCCCTAGATGATAATATCATCAGGCCAGCTGTACGTGATGGGGAGTATGGCAATTGTGTCACAGCAAGCTTGGATCTTCAATGACACTGTAAGAGAAAATATACTGTTTGGACTTCCATTTGAGGAAACTAAATATCAGGCTGTTGTTGAATGCTGCAGTTTGCAGAGAGACTTGGAGCTACTGGCTAATGGGGATAAAACTGAAATTAGTGAAGGCGGCTCTAATCTCAGGTAATGAATATGTTGTACTTAATCTGTGCTTAACTTTACTTACCATACATTCTGCTGTTGCAGCAATGCATGCGGGTGGTACAGCCGACTGAAAATTGCATTTTTAGCCTACTTGCATTATTTTGAAAAAATAAGAAGGGGCGTATGAGGCAACTTTGCTGTCTGTGTGGTCCCTAGTAATGTTTCTAGGCAATGGCTGGGTAAAGACATTCCCATGGCAGCGAATACTCAATGCAACAATAGAAGAACTACTGGGTGTAGCGTTTTATAGGTGGTGCATGTTGTGACGAGTACCCGATATATAGTGAAAGGAAAGTAGGTGATTAATTACCGGCCTCCGTAGTCTAGGGGTAACGGTCCCACCTCGTGACTCAAGGTACGCGGGTTCAAAACCGGCATAGGTCGTGGAATTTTTAAGGGCGGAAAAATTCAGGGAACAAGTCCTCCGGGAGGGACTTTAAGCCGTGGGTCCCGTGTCGTAGCTTTACGGCACGTAAAAGAACCTCATGTCCCAAGGGGACCACTGAGCCAAATTCAGGACATTTCCTGCGCAACAGTAGTCTCTAATGCCTCTGGTAGATGGGGGAAGCATCGAGATACCGCTGAGCCAGTAGAGGCCGAACTCGCTGGCTGAGTCGGGACTGATAGCATGCACCAGTACTGGTAGGGAATAGAGACTGGTAGAATATCATAGGGGGACGCACAATGGACCAACGGTTGGTCTACGTGCATGAGGAAACCCACCCTCTCCAATACAATACAATGCAATAGGTGATTAATTCCTCCCAGAAATTCTTATTTCGTAACTGATACCGTTGCCCCATCAGCAATGGGAAATTTAAAATTACTTTTTCCAGACAATAAAATTATACCTCAATTTAAAATTTGGCTGCTGTCCCTACAGAACTGGGAGATTTAAATTCTATTCCAAACTATAAATGTTAACAATGTTGTTTTAATTTAATGGTAAATAGTAGTGTGGCATGTCGTTATATGGAGAGACAATCACTCATTGAATTGTTCTATGAATATTTATTATAGTTGCACAGTACACAGACGAACTTCGGTTTGAAGAATTGAAGACTAATAGTATAGTACCTACAATATTACTGCTTGCAACACCAACACCACCCCTCCAATCAGTATCGCCATATCTTCCTCTTATATAACAATGCATTGGACCGCATAGGAAACACGTTGCTGTCTGTATTGTAGGCTTTGCCTAGCAATGGCTGTTTACTCGCCGTTGCTAAGCAATGATACTTCCATTGTCACTGTAACATTTGCTTGAATGTGCGCAGTTCCCACATCAATATTTAGGTGAATTTCAGGCTTCATGGGTTAAGATTGTCATGGAACAGAGGAACAGACTGCAGTTTCTTCACCTCTGATTTGGTTGAAAATGATAATGTTGTCATTTTAAAATAAGTACAGTAAATTTATAGAATATACTGTATTTCTTTTGCAGTGTTAATTTTTCTGTTCTGTTTCCAAAACAAAATTTACATCAGACCCTGATGATGGGGACAGAGATGGTCTAAGATAAATAAGAAACATTGGTAATTTTTAACCAACTGACACAGCTGATAGCCTGAAAAAGTTTTATTGACTTTAGGTTCTATGAAAGCTTCAGATGTTACAAAAAAAATGACTGTCTTCAACTCTGCCTTAAATTTGTTTTCTTTTTCAAAATACATATACGAAGGGGGACCCAAAAATAACCGGAAATGACCTATTGCGCACGCATGCTTTGTAGTTACGAGTTGTGCTGCTAGGTGGTGTTAGCTGGGGGTCTCCCGCGACTGTTAGTGAGCTGGTGTCAGTCTGAGTTAAGTGGTTTGTCTGTGGTGCTCTGTTGTGTGAGTTCCTGTTTCAACCCTTTGGCGATTAGTGAGATGGCCGACCAGAAGGAACAAAGAGTGTGCGTGAAATTTTGCTTTCTGTTAGGGAAAACTGCACTTCACTCTTCAAGTCGCGGCAAACATTCACGCGGTTTTCTCTTTGGTCATCTCCGAGCAAGCGAGGAACAAATTTTGCAGACACCCGTCTCATGTGCAAACCTTCGGTTAAAATTCGCTGGACCGTGCTCCATGAGATGTTCGTTTCCTCAGAAAGTTGGTCAATGGTCTTTCGACGATCTTCATCAATTTCACGCACACTCTTTGTTCCTTCTGGTCGGCCATCTCACTGATCGCCAAAGGGTTGAAATAGGAACGCACACAACAGAGCACCACAGACAAACCACTTAACTCAGACTGACGGCAGCTCACTAACAGTCGCGGGAGACCCCCAGCTAACACCACCTAGCAGCACAACTCATAACTACAAAGCATGTGCACGCAACATGTCGTTTCCGGTTATTTTTGGGTCCCCCCTCGTATAGATTTCAATTGTATCTCTAACCCCTTCAGTGGTGACTTGGAAATTCAGTTCATGGTCCCCAGAGTATGAAACACACTGTTATCACATCCAGAAAGCCATGACAGATGGTTCCATGTAATGCTGCAATCTTCTGAGAAATATAAGAATTGTGTAGCAGCTGTCACAGAACCCAGAGACTTATCAGGATATAACAAATGGAGTAGTGCACTGAGCCCAAATATTTTCTGAAATATAATTGGTAGGAGCAGTGTGAATCCCAGAAAGTTCTGACAACGGCATTTAAGGGTTTAATGAATGCATCTTATGTGTCCAGGACCATATTCAGATTATTGTATGTGCTTGTTGTTTCAAGTGGAGGACAGAAGCAGAGAATTAACCTTGCTCGAGCAGTGTATGCTGACAAAGACCTCTACCTCTTAGATGACCCATTAAGTGCGGTCGATGCCAAGGTGGCTCGCAACATTTTCAACAGATGCATCAAGAATAAACTGAAAGATAAAACCATTCTGTTGGTTACCCATGGCATGCAGGTTTGTATGTTAATTGTAACTGGTTGAAGGTAAACTCGTATATTGATTAAGTTTGCTCAAACAGTAATACTGACTTGCATTTGGGAGTTGCCCAGTATCCTGACTAAGGTTTTGCTATACTACTCTGATTTTCTCCAAGGCAAATATCAGGATGTTAGCTCAAATTAGGCCATGAGTGTTCACTTCCACATCCTCTCCCATGCATTAGTCACTAATCATCATACCACTTGATGCCTTATGGTCTGAGCTACTGACAGCATGGCTAAATAAGAAATAAATAATATGGGAATATTGTGTAACCTAACAAACTGAATCCTTCAGTCCTGAGTTTTATGAAGCGTATGAGGCAATGCTGACCACTGTGGTTGACTGGGCAGCACTTCTTCATTTTTGGGAAGACCTGTGTTCAAATTTTAACTCGGAGACCATCTGTCTCAACAGGTTTTTCCCTCTAAGAACATGCTGAGATAGTACCTCAAATTAGGCCATGGCTGCATCCTTTCACGTCCTTTCCAGTTCATTATTTACTAATCATCCTTTCATTTAAAGGAGCCAGGATATATCAGTTGGTGTAGCAATGGGCTATGGGCTGGATGAACTATATTCGATTCCAGATGGGAGCATGAGATTTTTCTCCTCTACACAGTGTCCAGACCTGGTCTGAGGCCCAGTCAGCCTCCTATATGTTGGGTGCCATGGTCTGTTTCCCTTGGGGTAAAGTGGCTGGAGTGTGAAGCTGACCAGTCCCCTCCAACTAGCGTCATGTTCAAGAAAATGTGGATGTACTCGTATACATCCACTCCTCCATACATATTTATGTCATAGTGCTTAATCAGTTAAGCACAGGGACAACTTCAGCTTTTGTTTTACCTGTCATTTAATATAGTATATAGTACGGCTAGTGAAACTTACTGGCCATCAGGTTACTAAAATTGTTGTGTAGGGAAGGACAGAGAATCATAATATCAAGTGAAGTGTGACACAACAAGACGCTTCAGTACAGAAAGCAGATACTCATACTGTCTAAGAAGCTTGGTCATTGACATGAGAGGAAAAACAGAAATTGAGGTTCCTTTAGAACAGTGCTCAGGAGGAATATATGGGCCTAACAGAGATAATGTAGCAGGAGACTGGAGAAAACTGCATAATGAGAACACCCATAATTTGGACTCATTGCCAAATATTAATAGAACAGTCAAGTTGAGGATGTGATGGAAAGGGCGTGTAGTATACAAGGGAGAGGATTTGATAAAGAATTTTGATAGGAGAACCTGAAGGAAGGTGACCATTAGAACGTTCAGATGTAAATGGAAAGATAATATTAAAATGGATATAGAAATCAGTGGGAGGGGGGTGTGAATTGGGTTCATTGGTGTCAGTATAGGGACCAGTTGCATCATCGTGTGTGCACTGCAACGAACCATTGGGTTCCATACAGTGTTGGGAATTTCTTGAATGGCTGAGATACTGTTGACTTCTCAAGGACTGGCTCCATGGAGTTACTTAGTCAGTATGATAAACTCTTTTCTGAAATGTTAATACACTTGCACTTTCTCCACTTGCCACTTTATGGGATGTTTATGAAGTTTGAAATAACAGATCCATATGATCGTGTAATGAGGATTCATTGTGTTTTTGGAGGATGGGTGGGGGGATACTGAGATGAATAAAAGTATATGTTGTAAATTGTGATTGAAGTTGCAGTGTTGCTAATGAACTGTGTTATTCTTCAGATATTATCAGAGCTTTACAGTGGGTAGTTATCATCTTGATGGAATTGGGCTTTTCGCAGCGATGACTGGGAAGAGTACTTTCTTCTGGGCTGTAATGTCCTGTACTCTGGTAGGTCACAAAGTTTTGGTGTAATGTATTGCCTCCATCTTGTCAGTTGGAAGAGTGAACCAACCAAGTAACTATGAAGGAGTAGTCAGCTTTGTTTGCAATTCATTTCTTGGTGCCCACTTGCTTCTGACCCTGAAGGAGGAGGCAGTATGTCCCTCTGAAACATCTGTTAAGTTTACTAGACTCCAGAATAACATAAAAGAAAAAAAAAAAAGATAAAGTCCTCTGTGCTGAAGTAATTAAGCACTATGCCAGGAAGGCAGATGGGGGAGTGGGTGTATAGATCCACATTTTCTTGACCTTGGCACTAGCCGGAGATGAGTGATCAGTGTCACACCCTTGCTACTTTACCCCTGGGAATAGAGCCCCTGGTACCCATTGGATGGGAGGCTGGGTCGTCTCCAGATTTGGTCTGGACAATGTGGAGAAGAGAAAATTCTTGACACTACCAGGACTCAAACCCCAACACCTCAGTCATCCAGCCCATAGTCAGTTGCTATACTGACTGCTCTATCCTAGCTCAGTCTAGAAGCACATACTCTTTATTTATCATCCTTTTTTTCTTTACAGTTTCTTGAGCAATGCGATGAAGTTTTATACATGAAAGATGGCTTGATCTCAGAAAGAGGTACACATGAAGAACTGGTTTCACAGGGTGGAGATTACTGTCAGATGTTACAGTTTGACCAAATAAGAGACCAAAAGACTACAAATGAGGTGGATACAGAACATCCTTTGCACATGGAAGGAGGTTAGTGATGTTATAGTTTAACCATGTTCAAATCTGCAAAATTTAAAGTAATACTGAAAACCCACATTTAAGATTTCTTGGGGGGAAGCAGTGGGTTTGTATACCAGATCAGTCCCCCTTTTCTATCGGACTGAAATTCCTTCTTTGTGTAAGTTTGGCTCTTACTTGAAGATTTAATATGGTGTACCTTTCTGTTTAAATGATTGTCTTAATAGCATGTGTTATGTGATTTGTGACGTAACGTCATAACTTCAGGAACTTGTTCTTGAGTAAGCCAAACAAGAAACGAGTATGAATTAGGCAGCAAACACTGTGTGCCTGCTTAATGCTGGTTCCTTGCTTTGCTTACTCATCAACCTCAATGTTGGAAGGAGTAAGTACCTCTGATAGATTAGTTGGCTTATGCTAGACAACATGGTGATATATCTCAGAAGATAGAACTTGTCATAGTCACAGCTGTGAGAACCTCAAATCCACAAGTAGGAACTTTGTGTATATGACATATTTTTCAGGGGATGACCTGAAGTATAAGCACCTAATGTGAAGACAGTAAGTTGTGAATCACCCTACAAATAAAATGTAACTTTCCTTTCATGTTGTGTTTGTGTGTTGTCAGTGCGAAAGAATGGAAGTGAAGATAGGATAAATGAGCATAAACATGCATTCACTTACAGAGGTCTATAAAAAAGAGTATATCTAATTTTTCTATCTTGGACCGCCTGCATGTCCTAGTGGTCAGAGTTCCTGGCTACAGATCCTGAGGTTCAGGGTTTGATTCCTGGCACTGCCAGATTTTCTGAGAAGTAGTAGGTCTGGAATGGGGTACTCAGCCTTGTGAGATTAATTGAGGAGCTACTTGAATGGAAAAGTAACGGCTCTGGTCTACAAAACTGAAATTAACGGCTGTGGGAATTTGTTGCGCTGACCACGCAACCCCCATCTATCTGCTAAAGTTGGCACTAACTTCGCCAACAAGTGGCAGTCGCTCGTTTGGTATACTTCGCTTTCAGACTAAAGCCATGGTGTTTCTTTTGTTGTTTGTTGGTATTTCGGTTATTTCATTTCATTTATGGTGTGGATGATTCCAGCTGAAAATGAGTTGGCTGGGAAGCTAACCTCAGAGGAAGCACACACAATGACTCAGACAGGTTGGAAGGCATATGTGGATTATGCAAAGTTCTGTGGTGGATACTTCGTTATGGCCATGCTTCTGCTCTTGGTACTGCTGTTCACTTTATCAAGAATGTCTACAGGTATCTGGCTGCAGATCTGGTTGGACCAAGGTGATGGTTTAGAGGTTAGTTGTAAGTAAATGCCCTGTGATTAACATTTTTACTCCTGGTTACTCTGTTGCTAGATTACCTCCCATCCATCCCATTTTTAGCATCACACTATCAGTGGGTGGTGATGCAGAAGGTAGCTGCATGCACCATCTAGTGACTGAGAGAAAAATTAATTGCTTGAAATACTGTCTGAAAGAAAAAGTTTCTTTTTCATGGAGAGTTGCTGTCTGACCATAGTTGAATGTAATAATATGGACATATCCCCAGTTACCCACTGACCTTGGGTAAGGGGGAGGTGGTCAGTTAAGTACCATACCATGAAGATGTATGGGGGTGGAGATATGGCTTCACACATACTTGTCTTTGGCACTAAATGGAAATGAGCAGTCAACTTCAGCTTTTCATTTGAGTCATTTAGCATTGACAAAATGAGCATACCTTAGTGATCCTGAGATGAGTTTTATATTATTTTTTTCCAAATGGTCTTTGTAGTGGCACAGTTACATTCTGATTAAGGATTAAGGGCATACATTCACATTCCAGTATATAGAGGCGTTTTAACAGGCAGGGCAAGTTTATTTTTAAAAACAAAACCAAAACCCTAATGTTAGAAGGTTTGCATTATTTTAAAAAATGTTTCATGAACCTGCCTGTAAGCCTTGAAGCTTGTGTTTGGTCTAACTTAGGGGTTTTTGTGCCATCTAAGTGCAACATTGTTGATTGTTCCTTTATTGGAAACTATTTCAAGACATATTTCAGCCTAAATGGCCATCTTCAGATGTACGGGTGTTGTGGACATGGATACTGAAGCTCACTGTAATGCAGTTTTTCTTCCTATTGCAGTAGCCTCAGGTTAATTTTTGTTATGTGGGTTGCACGTGTTTTCCTGTAATATGCAATGCCTATGTTAGAGCTTTTTAAAGGTATAAATGTATATTCAGTTGTTGTATGTATGCTGTTACAGTTTCGTTTGGTATGCTTGTTGTGGCTGCCTAGAGTGTTCTTGGTGGGGCATGAGTTTTGTTTTCTGTTCGTTAGCCATCATAGCAGCACACAACACACCCCACACCCGAGGTTGCAGCACACCTGATATCATGAGAACATCCACAGTGAATGACTGTGATGGCCGACCAACAGGCAAAACTCACATCCCTTCAAGAACACTCTTAAGGCAACCACAGCAAGCAGGCCAAACAATACCATAAGTAATATCATATATACAGTAACTGAATATACACATATACCTTTAAAAAGCTCTAACATAGTGCATCGCACATTACACGAAACCACATGCAACCTGCATAACCAAAAATAACCCGAGGCTACTGCAATAGGAAGAAGATAAACTGCTTTACAGTGAGCATCAGTATCCTTGTCCACAACACCTGTACACCTGAAGGTGGCCAGTTAAGTTGAAACATGTAGTGAAATAGTTTCCAGTAAAGGAACAATCAACAATGTTGCACCTAGATGGCACAAAAACTTCTACATCAGATCTGTTTAATGCAACAGGATGCTGAAATATAACATTTTGAAGCCTGTGTATTGAAGGTTACATACTACAGTGTCATCAGCCATTGTGTTCTGTAATGTCATTGGTCTACTACTAGTCAAAGGTAGATGAAAACTGGGGGAAGTAAGGGAGAACTGCCCCTGCAGGTTACAGTGGAAGCTCTGTGGAAGGAGAAACCTATGTGAAGGGGAGAGTTGGGTGCCAGCCACAGTCTCCATATAAAGGAATCTAACTCACAGTGGTTTGTTATATGTTTTGTTTCTAGGCAGAACGGAAAGAAAACATCACACGTTACAACTTAACAAACATGACAGAGGAGGAACTTAAAGGATATGTAAATGATAACCCCGACCTCTGGTTCTATCAGCTGATGTATGGACTAACTTTTGGCATCATGTTATTCATTGGTCTGATGAAAGGAATTGGTATTGCCAGACAACTGCTCTTAGGTAAGTTAGTGCAGTGGATTTGCATGGTAAGATGCATTGTTTTGTATCAGTTCTTCTGTACTCTAAAGGTTTAGGCTGCTAGGGCCTCTTCTCAGTCTTGTGCCACAACTGACCATCTTTCAGGTCTTCCAACGTTTCTCCTTCCCCAAGATCTATATTATATTGCTTTCTTAGTTAATCATTTATCCTCCATCCTTTTCACATGGTCTTGTGGGATTTGTTGATACTCCAATAGACAACCACTCTGAAAAGTTTGTGGGCCCTGAAAAGGGCCTTTTGTTGCACCGTGCGTGCGCTGGAGAGTTGCAGCAACTATGTTAGCTGCCTGGTCGCAGTGCGTGGTTGCTGGAGAGTTGTGGCAGGTAGCAAAGCACGGTTGCTGGAGTTGCGGCAGCTGCATTAGTTGTCTGGTCTCAGTGTAGCAGTTGCCGGAAGTTGCCTGGTCACAGAGCGTGGTTGCCGGAAGATGTCTGGTCGCGGAGTGCGGTCGCTGTAGTGGCAGCAGCTGTGCCAGTTGCCCAGTGTGTTGGGCAGCCGTCCCTGTCGCAGTGGAGAGCCGATGACTCCGAAGACCAATCGCTCTGGACTATTATTATTATTATTATTATTGGAGTGTGTGGGTTTCCCTATGCACCGCGACTAATAGTCTATTGTATGTCCCCCTTTGATATTCTACCAGTCTCCATACCCTGCCGGTATTGGTGCTCGCTATCAGCCCCGTTCAGCCAGCGAGGCTGGCTGCAGTACCCGATTCTTCCCCATCTACCAGAGGCATTGGAAACTACTTGGGTGGGAAACTTTTTACCTAATTTAGCTCAGAGGTCTCCTAGAGACATGAGGATCTTTTACGGGCCGTAAATCTACGACATGGGACCCATGGCTTAAAGTCCCTCCTGGAGGACTTGTTCCCTGAATTTTTTCGCCCTTAAAAATTCCACGACCTCCGCCGGGTTTGAACCTGTGTACCTTGAGTCATGAGGTGGGAACGTTACCCCTAGACTACGGAGGCCGCTTTCGCTCTGGACTAAGTGTGATGACTGACTGGCTGATGTGGTCACTGATGATTGCTGGGTTGGATCTCTGTCTTTTACTCGTATACCAGTCTTGGTGGGCAGAGCTTAGACTTGTAGTTGCTATTGTGAGCACTGATTGGCTAGCGCTCGTAATGATTATGAGTGAGCTGGGCATCGAGTGCTGTATAAATGTGAGAGCTGACAGCAATGTGCAGCAGTGTGCTATTGATTTAGGAGTGAGTGTTGTCCGTTGATCGGTGACACAGCGTGATAGTATGTGAGATGTTCCCACAGTCTCATCGCTGTCCTCTTCATTTCCCAATATTCTGTTGCTGTGTTGGCTACAGAAGGAACCTATGGGACATTTATCTTGCAGATGTGGTTCCAATTTGTTGCACGTCCCCTAAGCAGCAGGAGGACCAGGAATTTTGATTTCGGGATGTCCATACTTTCACCGTCACTGCAGCTGCTGCTAATTGTTTTCTGTGTGGATTTAATTTAGCTTACCATTCTCCTGTGGCATGCTGGCAAACAGGTTCTTCCCCAGTGTTGCTCTCCCTGCCATTAGGGCTTCTGTGCCCTGTTATTGCAGTGAGATACTAGCTGTCAGATCTGATTTCAGTTTAATTATTTATAGCAATTTCAGTTTTGTGGATTACTGGGTTTTTGGACTTTGTCCAACATCCTGTATTCAAAAGTACCCTCTGAACACAACATTTTGAAAACTGGATCTGTTTCCATCCTCAGGTGAGAGGCATGGGAGAGACAAACTCTGTAAGGTCCATTAGAAAGAGCTAATCCCAATCACTGGACAACCTGTGTTGGTAATCTACAGCTATAACTTTTCTTTTAATGTTCGTTAGAATACCAGATGATGGACAAAGTCAAAAAACCCAGTTACCTGAAGGGTCATACACCATCATTAGAGCCCTTTGGAACCTACTTAATTCAGTTTTGTTAAAGTGTTTTATAGAGAAGCTAAAATCTTAAGGTGGCTCCTACAGAAAGGTTGGAAGTTTCACTTTTAAAACAGGTGCATCAAATGTGCCCACTATTATCCGGTTTATTTAATACATTTCTTCAATGAAATACTACACAAAAGGGAAATCTAAGAAATAATATTTAAAACAGTCACTACCAAACCCATCCCATCATGGGCTGTAGTTCCCCAGTTACCAGAGCTGGCCCATCAGGTGATGGGCTGTTGCTTGAAAGAGTCAAAACTTCAAACATTGGTTACTCTGTCTCTTTCTTCTTTTCCGTCTCTGTTCTAAATGCAGTAAGTTCAGAATTTAGTTTTCATGAAAAAGTAGTTAGCCTACCAGGTAAAATCCCAGTATGAAAATTTAACATGTAAAAATAATATTTGTATGAAACGAACTTCACATTTCTTTGCAGGTTCATCTCGCCTCCATGACACCATGTTTCGTAAAGTTATTAGGTGTCCTGTTTCGTTCTTTGATGTCACACCTCCAGGCAGAATCTTGCAGAGGTTTTCTAGGGATATGGATGAACGTGAGTTTAAGCCATTGGAACCTTGATTTAATATTACTTGATTTAAGGTTTTCCCTGATTCAGCTTCCAGTTTCAGTGATCACAAGTCAGTAATGTTAGTTTTAAATTTTCTCCATTTAATATTTTCCGTGGTTTAATGTTGAAATCCTCAGCTTCCAAAAGAAGCTGATAAACTGCATCTGGAAGATTCTCGGAACTCGACAATGACAAAAATGTTTCTAGTTATGTAAATATAATTCCCTTCCATCATTGATTTAAAAGTTGATAACATTTAGTTATTCATGACAATGACTTTTTCAATTTGAGATGAAATTGAAGAGAGAACTTGAGACAGTGTGAGAACTGGAATGAGAACAAGAACTTTCTCCACTGAAGACAGTCTGTGCCATTGGCTGCTTTCTTGCAGTGCTCTGAAGTGTACTGCTTATCCTTTTTGATATCAGGTCCTTTGAAACGAATGTTGACAAGTTATTGTGTTTAGAAAGATCAGATTGTAGTCATATCCTTTTTTGCCATGAGCAGAAAGAGGGAGAAAGGGGTAGATTTTGTTGACGCAGATTTATGCTAGTATTGCTGTCCTTGAAGATTGTGATGGATCACATAGTTTGCTCACTACTTTGCAAAATAATATTGTTGGAGTTTGAGACTGAAATATCAACATTCGAATCAAAATTGAGATATTGTTTTCTTAGTTCAGTCTAAAAAATTTGAGGGTCATACATGCCTAATAATATTAACTGATTTTTTGTTTCAGTGGACGTCAGGGTACCATTTTTCTTTGAGTTTGTGTGGCAGGGGTTGATGTTTGTTATCACACAAATGTTGCTGGTGTGTGTAATTTTTCCTGTATTCTCAGCTGCCATGATTGTTGCAACAGGTTAGTCAGTGACTATTTTGTTGTTTTCTCTTTATTTTAATGTGATATGTAAGTATGTGAAGGTCTTGTCATAGCTGAGGTAGTTAGACATTTGCTACTCATTGAGCCTCAGGTTCAGTGCCAGGTGACTTTACATAAAATTTGTGGTGGATGGAATGTCACAGGAGCAGGTTTTTCTACGAGTTTCTGTAATTTTCCCTTTCTAACCATCATTCAACTGTGATTCATACTCAAGTATCAGTGTCCCCTGAGGTGTGTGTGCATGTGTGTGGTAGCCCTGCTCAGGAGCGCATTAATACATCCTCAGTCTTTAAGTCTGGGGCTTCACCTGTGACCTGACACTTAACTGGTTACAAGGAAGTTAGATATTTTGCATATAAAAACTGAATTGCCTCCACATGCTCCCATGCACTCTTGCTTATTATTAATAGCATTGCTAGTTACTGCTCATAGTTCTGCCAATAACAGCTGGATCGTCCTGTTTATACATATCCCATCGTAAACTCTAATGCTTTCTTTGTTAATCTTTTCCTCTGAGCAAGTAACTTATGCCATGGAACCAAGTCCTTCCTTAGACGGCAGTACTTGATCGGCCAAGAAATTTCTAGCCTTTTATAGAGCCCAGAAGTTCATAGTCTGTTACTGGTCCCAGTCCTGAGCACAGATGAATCCAGTCCATGCCCTCACATCATATTTCTTTAATATCCATTTTAATATTATCCTCTTATCAACACATTGTTCCTCCTAGCGGTCTCTTTTATTCAGCTATTTCTACCAGAACTTTGTATGCATTCCTCTTCTGCCCAGCATGCACTGTGTTCCTGCTCAACTCATCATTCTTTGGTTAAAAACTTGAAAAATATGTAACAAGGAGTACAATTTATGAGGCCCCTTGTTATGCATTTTTTTCATCCTTGTGTTACTTCACTAGTAGGCCCAAGTATTCTCTGCAGCACTCTGTTCTCAAACAGCACTGTATTGCAAGCAAGCATTTTCCAGATTTAATCTCCCCATTGTGACAAGGGAACAACTTAGGAAGAAGTCTTCATTCTCTTTCATGTCCAACCCACCTATATGCTTCTTGTCATATTTCATAATTTGTAATCAGAACTGTGCTGTTGAATAGTTAGCACTCCTGCCTCATATTTCAGGCCTGAAGACTAGCAATTCTGTCTGAGATTTTCAGTGGTTCTCCCATCTTTCTAGACAAATTAGGCCACAGATACATCCTTCCCAATTCATTTAAGTTCATTATTCACCAATTAGTCTACCATACAATGCTGTATTGTCTTCTGTTGTACTGACAACATCATAAAATAAGTAAAATAAAACATATAAGAGTTGAGGCTTTCACGGCGGTGACTAAGAAGAAAGCAGTTTTCTGGGATTTGGCACCGTGTATATGTGGTGTTAACCGACGATTCGGAGGAACGTATCGCCTCCATCTTCAGGGTAGAAGAAAAAATATAAGAAATCTGCAAGCGAAGAGACCGTGAGAACCGGTAAAACTTTTTTGATCACAAAGACCTAGGAAATCACCTCCTGCAGTTATGCCCTAAAGTCGTGAAACAGCCTGTATTGTCATCCTATATGTTTCAGAGTTGGTGTTAAACAAGTTAGGTTTTTGATAAACCTGTAGTTATTTTTACCTTGTGTAATAATTTCTTTCAGCTTTATTCATGTTTCTGGATGTGTGGTTGAACGTGGGATTACGTGAAACAAAGAAACTGGATAATCTGTTAAAATCCCCAGTGCTCAATCACATGTCATCAACAATGGCAGGCCTCTCCGTCATCCGTACATTTGGCCGACAGAAGATATTCCTGGAAAGGTATTTGCTGCAGTTACTGAAAGTGTTGTTATTGTTGGTGGTGTCATAGTTTTAATTGTAGTAATATACTGCAGTGAAATCCCTACATAAGGTTTCTTTGAGCAGTAATGGGTTCAGTTCTGACAAAACAGATTTTACTTGCAGGGGTGTAGTATATTTAAATAATGGATTTCAGAGAGCATACATGGGAGAGTAAAGAATTGCATACAGAATTTGGTAGAAACATGTGAAGGTTAGAGACCACTTGGTAGACCTAGCTGTAGGTGGGATGGTAATATTAAAATGGAGCTTGAAGGTACAGAATGAGAGGATTCAACTGACTCTTGTGAACACTGTAAAGCTTTGGTCTCCATAAAATTATGGGATTTTCGTGAGTAGTTAAACAGATGTTAGCTTCTCAAGAAGGACTCTGCTCCATTCAGATAGTCTGCTGTGTTAACCCAGAGATTTTGACTTGAGATTATTGAAATTGAATATTAAATGGGTGGAAATCATCATTCAAGGAACATTAAATTGGGATTCGACTGCGTGTTGTTATCAGAATTTAATAGTTTTAGTTGCAGTCAGTGAATTTACAGATTGAATCATCTGATTATGGTTTGATATTTCAATTCTTTAGGTTCTGTGCAAGACTCAACCGGACACTGGCATCTGACTTTATCTTCCGTTCTTCAGTTCGGTGGTTTACATTTCGAATGGATATGATTGCAGTGGTAATTGTCACATTGACTGGTCTCGTGGTTGTATTACTGCGTGACTCTGTTACAGCTGCCCAAAGTGGTCTTGCTCTGTCCTGCGTGTTTGCAGTAAGTTCCCAAAATCTTTGAAATTTACTTTATTTATAAAATTTATAAAATTATTTTATCATTCAGCTTTTGGTTATGTGTATTTGATAGTTGAAACATGTTCCAAACATCATTGTACAGGTGATATCTGACGCATGAAAGTTTTACTTGAATAACACAGAATTTCTTTATAAGTAATGAAATTTTGAAGGCATACCTCCTCCTTCTCCTCTCTCTAACATTGTTTTGTTTTATCAGGTTGAAGGACAAAAAGTCTTTAATCTTTTTCCATCTTCCCACAGTCTTCTTTTGATTTCTTGTTAGCTATTTCCTTTCATTTTTGATGTCTTGTAGTACTTGAAAGAAATGTGTAATAGTTCAGCATCCTTGGAAATCATAGGTGGACATTGCTCTTGATATATTTCATACAACTTATTTTGGCAGACATGTAGGGGCGGGATTGCTTTAATGCATGTTTTGTAGCCACATGATCACCTTTCATCCAGAGTTGCATGCAACAAAATTGGGTTGGAAAGTGCTGTACATTCAGATGTATTTACCATGCTCATTTTCGGTTGATTGAATTTTGTTTGGAATTACATGAACACACATCTTTTTCTTCATGGTAAAATTATTGGTCAGTCTGTGAAGAAATCTAAACTCTCAATTAAAATATATGTGTAAATAATATTAATACTGGTTAGTGCAGCTACAGTAAATTCCCAGTTACCCATCAGATTTGGGAACTGGGGTGTACCAGTTACATGAAGCAAATCGTTCCAGGAGAGTAACTCCTATAGAAACTCAATACAAGGTCAAAACAATATGTCTTTGATTTAGTTCTTGGTTGGGAACCTTCATGGACTGCATAGTGAATTGGTGGAAAGGTTTTGCGTGTACTATATAGCACATTCACAAATTAACCTAGCACCTGCATGAGGGAGAACAGTGGACATAGCTACTGGTGGTGGCAGAAATTATCTTCTAAATTTTTGCCACTTTCATGACAATTCTGCATAGATGGATACTGTGTAACTGGGAGTTTGGTGTGATCAGGACAAATGTATTGTCTAATTCTCTTGTGTTTACTATTTATTTTGTGTTAAAACCTATGTATTTCATCTCTCTGGGAAGTCATCATCAGTGGTATGATTTGATTCACAAGAATACTGCTGCATTGATTTACACTGTTGTTTTGTAATTTTTGTCTGATGTATGTGTAATCCTTTGATAAAACTAACTTTATTTCACAGTGAAAATTGCATGTCCATTCTTAGTTATGGTTCTGGATATCAGTTAGCTATTCGATTGAAGCTTTCTTTAAAAGTACTTGTTAAATTTTAAATGTTTTGAAAGTTTTGTTTATTGTTTAAAAAGATGTTTTATTTAATAAATCTTTTATTGACTGTTCTCTGTTTACAGTACTTCTACTAATTCATTTGGTGCTTTTTCATTTTTGTCCATATCTGTGGTCTGTATTGTTGTGTTTTCTCTTATTTCTGATGTGTCCAACCAGAATTAATATTATTTATGTGTAAGTCTGTTTCAGTGGCCTGGTGGCAACTTGCTGTCGAATATAAGATTTATGGGTTTGAAACTGGCTGAGGTTGACTGATTTTTAATAGTGATAAAAATCTGGAAGGGATGTAAATTTGGGGGTCCCATGTAAAAAAAAAAAAAGAACTCTTTACTCATGATAAGAGATGGATGATGGCAAAATTAGATGCCATTTTTGGTTGCACACAAAGCTCATTAATCTGCTCATAGATGGTGCTGTGGTTGCTCGAGAGGGGGGGGGGGAGGTGAGTGAACAAGCAATTTGAAATCACTGAACTCAATTGAAGTGTGCTGGATGATGTAACTCTCTCACGTGGTTTCCGAGGGAGTGACATATGCCAGACAGTTGAGGTTAAGGGCACAAATGACTTAATTATCAAAGTATGTCATGAGAAACCAACCACGTGTAACAGATTCCACTGACAGTGGGCTTAATTTTATGGTTTGCCATATTTTACTATAGGATTCTGACGATGGTGTATAACACACTGATATATTGGGTTTCCTAGTTTTTGTTATCTTAAAAACTAGGACGATGGATAAAGTCCAGAAACCCAATATATCATTGCCATATTTTGTTTGACAGGTGAGCACGTTTGTGCCATTCGTTATGCAGCTCAAGTCAGAAATGCAAGCAAGGTTTACGTCTGTAGAGAGAATCTTGGAGTATACACAGGTATGGGATTTGTTAAGGTACGAGTGTGGCATAGAAGGAATGAGAGATATGTACAGAATTGTAGTTGGAACTCTTGTTCTTTGTCTGGATATTTCTTCTGTCAGCTTCTCTAGCAAATGCCAATAAAGTTTGTATGTGCACCAGGATCTCCCAGAAGAAGCGGCTGGTAAGGTAGAAACACAGAGACCACCTGATAACTGGCCATGGTCTGGTCAAATAACAATGGAAGATGTGCAGCTGAGGTACCGTCCGGATTTGCCCCTTGTTCTGCATGGTGTAACGGTTGATATTAAAGGAGGTGAGAAGGTTGGAGTTGTTGGTCGAACCGGGGCAGGTAAGCAGTACAGTTGAATATTAATAATCATTGTCATGACTCAGATTAGATTTAAATCTGTTCAGCCAACAAAATTTATTCACACCATCTCTTCCATGGCCCTCCCATTGATCCTCTTTCCTCTTTTACTTGCATCATTTCTATTTGAGCTAATAGACAAGCATTTGCCTGTCTTTGCCTGTTTCCTTTTCCCCCTCGTTCTCCTTATCCTACTCATGGATCCCAGTGACCACCTTCCTTAACATGGCTGTATAATGGAACAGATTCTTCACTCCACACACACCATCCTTGAAGATGGAGGCAGCATGTTCCTCCTGAACGTTAGTATCTGCCTAGAAGACTGCACATTGCTAGAACCCAGAAGACCACAATCTGAACATTAGTAACATTTTGAGATTGTCTTTATTTTTGAAGGCAAATCATCCTTGGTGACGACACTGTTGCGTCTGACAGAGCTGGCAGGAGGTCGTATCTTGATAGATGGCATTGATATTTCAACAATTGGGTTGCACGACCTGCGGTCAGCTGTGGCGATCATTCCCCAGGATCCTGTTCTCTTTCAAGGAACTATTCGCTACAATTTGGATCCGTTTGGGGAACATAGTGACGATAAAATATGGGAGGCTTTGGACAAGGCTCACCTAAAGGAAAAGGTAATTGCAATTATTGTTTTACCTTAGCTTTCAGAAAAATTTCATCACATTTTGGTTGCTGGATCCTCTTATCTATTGTTTGTTTAATGATGTTATCAATAGTTCAGGCTGTATGGCATCGATTGAGGGGATGATTAAAGAATATTGAATTGGATACAGTATCAAAGAAAGCAGCAAAAGGTAAGGTTGTCCCTATGCTTAATAAAGCACAGTGCCATGAAGATATATAGAGGAGTGAAGGTATAGTTCCATGTATACTTAATCTGAGTACTAGACAGACATGATTGACCTGCTTCCCACCTCAGCCACTTTACCAAAAAAAAAAGAGCCCCTGGTGTACGTTGGACAGGAGGCTGTCACCTGAATCAGAGCTCTTCAGGATGGAAATGATCATGGTCTAATTTAAGGTATTTTCTTGGCATTTGTCCAGAGAGACTGAAGAAAATCACAGTAAGCATCATTAAGTACAGCTAGTATCCAGGCAGATAACTGAACTCAGGACCCCTGATATATATATATAGCAGGGGCTTTAATTATGTGACTGCAACTTCTAGTGGTACACAGTGAATCTGACTTGCATTGTTCTTTTTTGCCGTTTATGTGCAATGTCAGTTAATATGCTGTCATCTTTTTTTTTTTCTTTATTGTCACTATATATTTCAGCCTAACTGGCCACCTTCAGGTGTACAAATTACTGTGGTTAAGGAATCTGCTGCTCACTGTAGTGTTGCTTTTGTTATGTAGTTGCATCGGAACCTACGTCGTGTTTATTTGGGTGTCCTTCAACAGTTGCTATGCATATGTTTGCCTTATAATTTTGTTGGTTCATGACTTATGGCTGTCCTGAATGTTTCTTTTGGGGCAGAAGTTTGTCGTATGGTGGTGGGCCATTACAGTGATGCTTTTTGTCTCGACAGACTTCAGCAGTGACCCAGGTCACAGCCTTCTATAATACTGTATACATGCTATTCCTTCAGTTGGCAAAGAATGGGTATAATTTGTGCTGGTGCTGTGTTGGGAATGACGGGTGTGAAGTGAAGTTATGCCTCATGTTATAAATCTACGCTCTCCTAGAACAGAATGCTACTGTGTAGTAGTTAAAGACATTTGAACTTCCAGTTAGAGAGCTGATGTCACCACCGCATTGGCTGTAAAGATTGCTGTTTTCTGGGATGGGATACCATGTAGTTTGGTAGAAGTTTAGCAACTTCACAGAGGAGCATGCTTCCTCCATATCATGGTAGAACATTGTTTCTGAACATTTGCACCATAGAACACTAATGTATCACAAGAACAGAAGTGTACTGTGAAATTTATTTAGATACTTTTTAACTTACTACTGAGCTTGTTATTACTAGGGCTCGGATTTCTATGACATGTCATATTTTTATCCTGGCATCTTTTTGCATGTATAATTAAATATAAACGCATTTCTGACTCTTGTGAACATGAAAATACGGTTTTTATTGGTCATATAAATGCATATTTGAACCATATTTTAGCTTTAGGTCATATTTGGGCCCGAAGTGATATAAAATCATATTTTTGGTCATATTTTAGGCGAGTTTCACTTATTGCTCAGAAATATATTTGCAAGTATTGGCAACGATGTTATTTGGAACTTCATTTCTTAGAAATATTTGGCCTTGTGTAACGGGATTTGAAGGAATACTGTACAGTGTGAAGGGTAACGGTTCTTGACCTGGCGTAGAATCAACCACTTTGAAAAGAGAAATTGCCACCTCTGCCACTGTCTGTCTGTCTGTGTGTCTGTCTGTCTCTTTTTCTCCTCCAGTGCAGTGATACCTGAAGTCCAGTTTGTTTCTTGCATATTGGTGAAAAATTTTTCCATCCACAAAGCGGTAAATTTCTACCCTCTCCCCGAAACCCGTCCAATACAGTACTGTATTCATAACTTCAGTTGTTCAGTATAGTTTCAAGATGCCTAAAGTCAAGTGCTCTAATAGCGTGAAGTTGCGTGGTTTTATTAAAGAGTTTGGTGACAAATATTTTAGTACTGACGGAGAAATTTTATTTTGCAAAATGTGTGAAGTGAAAGTTACGGCAGACAAACGTTTTACGGTGCAACAACACTGCAATACAGCTAAATATAGAAGCTGTGTAAACAGAGAAATTACCACGGAAAGTAGACAGCGATTGTTGTTTGAAAAGTCATCCTCCAGTTCACCGAAATCAGGAAATGCCTCCGAGTTTTCAAAGGATCTTTGTACTATGATGGTTTCATCAAATATTCCATTACATAAAGTAGATACACCTAGTTTCCGAAACTTCCTCGAAAAATATACAACTCATCCCATTCCGACCGAATCCACATTAAGAAAGAACTATCTCACTTCCTGCTACGATGTTACCATCAATAAAATAAGAAACTGTGTCGGAAATAATAAAATATGGGTGTCTATCGACGAAACTACCGACGTAAGTGGTAGATTTGTAGCGAATGTTGTTGTTGGTATACTGAAAGATGACCAGCCTCGAGATATATTCCTATTGGCATGTGAGGTGTTGGAAAAAGTGAATAATTCTTCCATTGCTGTTGTTTTCGACAATGCGATGAATTTGCTGTGGCCAAATAAGGTAGAACGAGAGAATGTGCTCCTCTTCTTAACGGATGCCGCTCCATATATGGTAAAGGCAGCAAAGGGACTTCAGGTACTGTATCCCAAAATGATTCATGCAACGTGTCTCGCACATGCTCTGCATAGGGTAGCAGAAGAGGTGCGAGAGAGCTACTTTGATGTAGATAAATTAATAGCAAATGGGAAGAAAATTTTTGTTAAGGCTCCACTTCGATTGCAGAAGTTTAAAGAAGAGGCTCCATCACTACCCCTTCCCCCTAAGCCTATTCTAACACGATGGGGGACTTGGCTCGATGCTGCAGATTATTATTGCACACACTACAGTGTGATTGAAAATATCTTCATGAAGTTTGACAGAGATGATTCATCTTCAATTCGAACTGTACAAAATTTGTTTTCATCAACCACGTCAAGAAATCTAGCGTACATAAAATCAAATTTCAGTGTGATATCAAAATCCATCATTAGACTTGAAGCTGTGGGCATGCAACTGTGCAATGCATTACAAATTGTTAAGAAAGTTGAAAGTGAACTACATCAAGCACAGGGCGAAGTTGCTGTGAAAATTAGTGCAAAATTACAAAATGTGCTCCAACGAAATCCTGGATATTCAACACTGTGTACAATTTCTGACATTCTTTGTGGCAAAGAAGTTGAATTTGACAACAGTGAATTAGAACTTGACGCAAGTGATTTGACTTGTTTTAAGTATGCCCCTGTGACATCTTGCGACGTAGAAAGGAGTTTCTCCAAATACAAGGCCATTGTTAGTGACAATCGGAGGTCCTTCAAGTTCGAGAATTTGAAAATGCATGTTGTCATTCAGTGCAACTCTACTGAAAAGGAAGATTAAGGTACCGTACAAATTATTTACCTGCAACTATTAGCACACTTTACTTTACTTTTCACGCTAAAATAAACAATACTTTCGTTCATGTTTTCTCTTTACAGGGTCAGCATTGTGTTGTGATGGATGCTTCACGGCTTAAAGACATTTATTCAGAAAAAATAACTTTGTACACTTTTCAATAAAACGCCATTCAGCTTTTCTCTTTATGGGGTCAGCAATGTGCTGTGATCGATGCTTCAGAGCTTAAAGATATTTATTCAGGACAAAATAACTTTGTAAACTTCTTAATAAATTGCCATTCTTAGGAATTTTTGTTAAATATTTACTTATTTTTTGTGGGCCATTCTGTCATATTTTAGGTCATATTTTGCCATTTTTAGGGCATAAATGCATGCATATTTTCAAAGTTTTTAGGTCATAGAAATCCGAGCCCTAGTTATTACCATACAACATAAAGTCAACTCTTGTTATCTTATTGTCACGTGTTGGGTATGTCATGTGACAAATAACTTTACGTGGGTCTCACATTTAGCGAATCTTTATTGGACATCACTCTTATACTCTTTACAATTATTATCAGTTGTAGCATCACTTGGCTTCTATCTCGTTACTCAGTTCTCTAATACTTGTAATGTCGTAAGCTCTGCTTATATAGGGGTTATGCGGACTCAATAGAGACACCCCTCACCAAGGTTTGATCTCACGTGTTCGGCAATCCGTTACTTTGGGGCCGTTCCTTATAGATTACACTGGTAACGTGTTTCGTCTCATCCGTTGCTACTCAACGACAGTTCGTTGCTACAATTTGTCACTGCGGGAACTCCACAATTTCCACGTATTCGTTGTTGTGGAAGTGTCCGTTCCGATTGTAGCGGTTGTTGTGGTGATGGATGTAAGATAACGCATCACATTATGTTAAAAATGTGTCAGTATCTTTTTCAAAGTTTTCCCAGAGGAAGACCCATGGATCCCGTTTTCCCCATTTTATCATGGAGTGCTGCAGACCCCCCCCCCCTCTGTCTGTGCCTCCAATTTCAAAATCATAACGAACTATACCAAATTTATGATAAGTCTGGTAAACAATGGGGTATAAGATGGAAACAGCACATTACTCTGACGTGAGTAAACTTTTTACCGCACCACAGAGCATCGCATCCCAGAAGACAGTAATCTCCCAGTTGGAGATTTACAAGTGTTTGGAGGGGGAGGTATCCCTGTAATAGGCTGTGGAGGCCTGCGGGGTTGTGAGCTGCTGAGGTTCCCACATTTTCTGGACAGTTGGCTCACAGATAATGGTGAAATTATCAGCCTTATGCGCCTGCCGCCCTTTACATTCAAAAAGATTGCAGGTACTCATGTCTGTTAGAGGCTGAGTCGACCCCAGAAAGGTAAAGCTATCTCTGTAACAGGCAATGGAGACCCATAGGTTTGTGAAACATCAAGGTTCCCAGTAGTAGTAAGTGACATGAATGTGTTGGGTGTTACAACAGATTAGCCGTGAGGAGAAGCAGTTGCTTTGTCCTGTAGAAGTAGATGGAGAGAACCTGTCTGTGGGAGAAAAGCAGCTAATTTGTTTGGCCCGTGCTCTGCTTCGTAAGAATAAGATCCTGCTTTTGGATGAAGCTACAGCATCAGTCGATGTGGAGACAGACCATTTGATCCAGGAGACAATCCATGATGCCTTTGGACATTGCACGGTTCTCACCATAGCTCATCGCCTTAACACTGTCACAGCTTATGACCGTGTAATGGTCATGGACTCTGGAAAGGTATAATTTGTATAATTTTATGTTTGCTTATGGTTTCTAGCCAAGGAAATTGTGAAGCCAAGAATATGAGAATTCTCTGTTATGCTGGTGGATTAATCTGTGTGATGCTTTTAAATTTAAGCGAGAGCTTTTGAAGCTTATGTAGTGAAATGCTGATGAAGTGTACATCAATTTAAACCTTTCCTAGCCTGTTTATTTCCTCCTTCACTCCTACAAGCTACAATGGAAGACAGCCATGAAATAATGCGTACATACAGTCTATGAAAATACAAAATTATTGCCATCTATTGTTCCTATACCCAAATTACCAGAAGAAGTGCCAAGATTATAAAATGGACAGGAGAGTAGGTGATGGAAGGCTTCCAACAAGAAATATGAACATATGAACAAAGTTTGTAAGTTTTCATATTGTCGGTATGTGTATTTTCACTTCAGTATTTTATTCATTTGCTTTGCAGACATGTGTTGTATTTATATACTATATGATAAATTATTTTTTTAATTTGTAGGTGACTGAATTTGACACTCCAGAAAATCTGATGAACTGTGGTGACTCACTTTTTCGTCAGATGATGTTGGCGATGGGTATTTCTTCCCTCCGGGACAGCTCTGCTACATGATCATGAGTACTTTAGGTCACCAATGTTATTGTTATTAGTATTAATAATAGTAAAAATGTTAATACATTGAATAAAAGTATAACCATGTCATTTAACAATATTGTAACAATTCAGCTGCTGCATGCAGAGATAGGTTTGTGTGTGTATAAGTGATTATAACTGGTACAGAATTTTGTAAAGTGTATGTTTAACCCAGTTAATGTTTCACTGTAAGTTAGACCTTTATAATCATTTTGATTTTGAACCTTGCTCCTACCAGCTGCAAATTAATTTGGGTATAAAAAAAAAAGTTTGGTGTGCGAAAATATAAAACTAGTGCTGAGGTTCCATGAACTATTAGAAATGGTGTCAAAGAGTCTAAAAAGCAGGGATTCAGCATGTAGTCATAGTGTGACATTAAATTACCAGGTTGGTAGTAGAAGGCTTCTCGCATGTACCTGTGTGAGCAAATTGGAAGCCTTCTGAAAGAGGGCAGTAAAGGGTTAAAATTGTCCATTTTCTCAAACTGTAGAGCAGTGATAAAGAAATGAAATGAAGGCTGAAAGTATTGTATCTTTCAGTGTAAGACTTTAACTGAAATTTCTTCACTTTGCAACAGCTGTTTTTGTTTTAATTTGTAATTGTTTTTTAAAAGAGAAGGATTAGAAGTAATTGTCACCTTTTAAAGGTGTAATACAGGGTTAGATGTGTGATTATATGTAATTCCATGGATGCATTTTCTTGTTTAACCCTTTCTAGAAGTTTGCTGATGTAATATTGACATAGCACTTTTTCCTTTGTGGTTAGATGTCAGTGCATTGTGGACATGTATTTTTTTCTTTATTTAGGTGGTTGATCAAATTCTGCTGCGATCATTTCAGTGCCTTTATCAAGCAAATGCTGCCATCTGCTGATTATTTTTGTAACATTTTATGGGAGTGTGCGATATTATATGTACACAAGTTGGTTGCCTGTAAAACAGCTGAAATTTCCTAGCTTGGGAAAAAGTTGTACAGTCTTATTACTAGAAAGGGTTAACTATATTTCATATGAAACAAGTATGGTGAGTTTGTCATCTGTTCTGATGATGAAGTTGGAAAGTCTTAGCTTCAGGGCAAAATTCTGTTGCCCTGAATATTTTTTTATTGACCCTCTGCAAGCCACAGACCGATTAAATCGGCTTGGGGTACTTGCATTGAAATTGCTATAGCCAAAGAGATTGGCTTGTTGTTGTGTATTGATAAAGCATTTCTCTCAATACATGGCATCAGGTGTAACATACCTATGTTAGATAAAAGATTAGGCTTTCACATGATCTGTACGTGTCGTCATTGCAAGGTCATTTGAGGAAGTATTTTGGGGTTTACTGTGCAACTGAGTTTATCTCCCAAGTAAGTTTGGGATTTATAGCATATAGTTCTTCTGTGGGGCTTAGCAGTCACAAGATTAAGAGAATGTCTTCTGAGAAGGGACATTGTGTAGTCTGGTGGTTTAAGTACCACTTTTTCAGAGGAACTTTGTGTTACCCTGAGTTTGGAGGAAGTAGGTTCCTCTCAATCATTGGAACACGTCTGCCATATTACATGGTGTCACATCCCAGAAAACCATAATCTTATATTTCCTGGCAAGGAGACCCTGAAATCTCATGTTAATTCAGTTTCTAACCTTTGAGTTCTTTACTTTTCATATAATTATATTGTTCTGCCACAAGTCAGGGATCAGGGATGTGCATGCTGCTCAGCAGTCTGAACTATACTGACTTAAGAAACTGGGACTTTTTGCAAAGAAGGTTGCTAGTGAACATCAGCTTTCTCCATCAATATATTTTTATTGACATTTTGTTTACAGATACAAGTTTTATTTGGATCATCTGTTCTAGGATTCTTCCTCTTTCCTCTTCCAACATTAACACTTCCATGCCAGTCATCTAGCAACCAGTGCCCTTTATCTGTCTGTTTTTCCCAAAGTTCTCTGTCTTCAATTTCCTCACCTGTTTTTCCTTCCTTCTGTGTGACATCTAATATGTTGTTCCCATCTCTTATTCTTACATATTTTCCTTTTATTCCCGTGTTCAAAACCTTTTGGGGATAATTTCTTGGTTCTTTCTTACAATGTACCCATACCATCTTGTACTGCTATTGAAGATTTGAAGCTATCAGGATGAATAAACTTGCTGAAATATTCTCAGGCATTTAGCCATGTCAGTGTTGAACTAAAAACAAATGTTTCAGAGGTGATATGGCTCTCCTCCATAAATGTCAAGGACATAAGGTTAAGCATGGTGGTGATAGGTTAGTGTCAGACATGCTAAAATCTTCTAGGATCATCAGCCATGTCAGTGTTGCATTGCCCATGATGATTGAGACTGACATGGCTGATTGTCCGAGAATATTTTATTTCTTCTGTTATTTATTAATTTATGTTCCTATGTATTTATTTGTTTTTAAATTGTCTCGTATTTTTGGTTTTGTATTCTCTTTCTCATATTTCTTATTGCATGCCTCATAAAAAATCTCAGCTGCTCTTAGTCTGTTGATATCTGTCATTGTCCATCTTTATTGTAGGTCTATATGAATGTTTCATCCAGTAAACATTATCTTATAAAGACATGGGTGCCACGAGGCAGCTGGTTGTCTGGGAGAGAAACAAGATAATTTTCATGCAAACGTATGTTTAAGCCATGTAAGTCTCTTTGTCCTGATAGCCCCAGAATACTCAGGATGACAGAATATTTTTTTAAAACAATGTTTCTGTAGATTCTGAAGGGTTCTGATGATGGTGTATAACACTTTGAATCACTGGGATTTTGAACTTTGCCCATCATTTGGTATTCTAGGAACTAGTAAACAGCATTTCAGAAACTGGATCTCTTTCCGTCCTCGGGCGAAGGGGGAATGGAAGACACCTACTATGTTGGGTCCCTTAGAAATAGCTAACCTCCAGTGATTGAAGTTAGCTCTTTTTAAGGGACCCAACTGAGTAGGTGTGTCACATTTCCCCCTCCCCCTAGGACAGAAACAGATCCAGTTTCTGAAACATCGTGTTTTCTAGTTTCTAGAATACTGCACAATGGACAAATCATTCATTCCAATCAGTCATTCCAATTTCTCTGTGTTGGGTGTTAATACATAGAGAAATGGGATTGGGTTATGTGGACAGGATTCATGTGGCTTAAGATAGGGACTGATTGTGGGTTTTTTGAACATGGTGTTGAACCTTCAGGTTCTATATAGAAATATTTGGAATCTTTTCATTTACTGAACAACTGGCAGCCTCTCAAGAAGGACTTACCTGCAGGGAAGTAGTTAGCTAGTTAATTTGTTAGTTGACTTGTAATTTGGAGTTTTAACTCATTTGAATTAACAAAATATCAAAGAACACTAGTGTACATTCCTACTATAATGAGCAAAATTCAAAATTGTTGTGTATATTGAATCTAGTATGCAGTTATATGCAGTACAAATATTTATATAAGTCTTATAAGTATCTATATAATTTTCATATATAATAGATGATGTAATGTCTGTTATTTTGATGATTTTTCATACTTTTTCTTGTAATTGTGCAGTTCACATATTTGTTGTGAGGTAAATGGGTGAATGTCACTCCTGTTATCCGGCCATTTTATGCAGAATGTCTTGAATTTGAAGGAAATCTACCTAAATTTTAGAGCTTATACACCATCTAAATGGTAAGGCGGTACAACTACTTACTCACAGACGTGGACATACACATCACTACAGTGTTCATTCACAAATTATGTGAAAAAATGTTCCATGGCCCTAGTGCATTATTAACAGAAGTCTGCAGGCCAGTCTTCAGGGAGACAGGATATCTGGCCAAACACATGTTAACACTTCGCGGACCGGTGATTTAAATATTTAAATCACCCTGGGGACCGGCGTTTTTAAACCTACTACCCTAACTTGTGCACTGTTCACTTTAAAAATTAATATAAAATCTCCTAATTAATTTTATGAACTAAAATTTTTGGAGAAGACTTACCAGAGCTCCTAGAAGTGCTTCAGAGTGTGATATTTCTGGAAACATTCCCCTCTGTGAAGAGGCATGACGCAGAACTTGCAGACATAGGAAGTCTTGCTTCGCTTCTTATGCACAGCGCACACACGGCACTGCCTAGAAGGATACTTCCGCATCGATTGTTCACTCATCACAATTTTCACGAGGGTATGTTTCCGCATATCACCTGAGAGTCGCCCAGGGGGGTGGGAGTAGATGGTCCCGGTCATACTACGTCTGTGTCTGACACAGGTTCTGCCGCCACTGTGAGGTCTGTAGCCCAGACTTCTGCCACATTCATGAGAAATGCCTTGTATTTCAAAGTTGAATTTTCGTTTAGCTCTTTGAAAACCAAAAATGAATTGAAAAGGGCACAATTTATAAGCCACAGGGCAACTCTCTTCGTCCATTTTACTGTTTTCCTAGGAAGGGAATAATAGGCCAAGTATTGGTCGGCTCTGTCAACTCCTTCATGAACATATTATACTGAGAAATACAAAGAGGCTTCTTCTTCACTTGCCTGTGTCGTCTTTGAACATCGACCATGCTCGAATTGTGAATAGTGGAAATCATATTCACAACGCGAGTATCCCTCCAGGACTGAAGAAGAATGTCCCCCTTCCTCCTGAATGTGGTGTCACCACGTTTCAGGGATTTACATTCCTCTTTCAGATCTGGAGGAAGGCCTCTGTTCACCCTAATTGTACCACAAACATGTACTTTCCTTGAAAGTAGGTATTTTGCAGTTGGCACACTGTTATAAAAATTATCTTGATAAACGTGATAATTTTGATCCAGATAGGGATCCAAAATGGAAACAATAGTTTCTTGCAATTTCTTGCCTTCACCGGAATAAATTTCTATATTTCCAGTATAGACTGAAGTGTGTTCCATGACTACACGAACAAGTAGGCCATACTTTGTGAGTTTCCCAGGATTATATGTTCGAAAACGAAGCCTTCCCCTCCAAGGAATCACAGATTCGTCCAAAGACAGTTGCTGCTCTGGCTTATAAACTGTCTGAAATTTCTCAACGAAAAAGTCTAATAAGGGCTGAATTTTGAAAAGCCTGCCCGTTGATTGTGGTTGCAGTTCATTATTATTGAAATGCAAACACCACCATATCTGTTCAAATCTCTTACGATTCATGAGTTTGCTGAAAATGGGAATTTCTAAAAATGGATCAGTGGACCAGTAGTCTTTCAAATTATCCCTCTTTGTAAACCCCATTATAATGATTATTGCCAAAATTTTTTTCATTTCTGTTGAAGTGACATCCACCCACTTCAACACCTTATAGGTACTGTTGTACACCTCATGGTGTTGGAGATAGTATCTGCTGGTCTCCTGATGCAACATGTCAAAGAAACTATCTCCAAAAAACAGTTCAGCTACTTCAGACACTTGCGTAGGGTCCGATGGCATTTGTCTCACCCCTGGATCACCAGTAAACTTTCCCAAAGTGGGTGTTTTGTCCACTTTACCCCATGTGGCTGTCCCCGCGAAGCTAGCACTCGCACTTTCATCGGAGCTCTCACTGTCACTTCCACTTTCTCTTCTGGTCACAATATTTTGGGGGCCCCTGTCACTACCACTGACACTGCCCTCGCTATCAGAAGACGAAGCAGTTGGCAAGTCAAATAACTCATCGGAGATAAAATCACGGATTTCTTCTTCTCCGAGAGCTCGCACGGCCTTCAACTGCTTTCGTCTCTGAGCCATGTTGACACTGAGAATATGTTGCCTCACACATAGAAGCTTTGACTTGAACAAAGGGACTTTTCTTTAGAGTGAGAGAGGAATAGAGAGTGGTCATGTTGGTGACTCGGAAAACAAACATTCCAAAGGTCAGCTACGCAGTACTTTTACAGACATGTGGCCACCAAAGCAAGGAATAGTGTGTTGCAACATAATGTGTCCTAAAAGCCTAAATCTAGGTGACCGGTCTGCCATGTTTAAAACCCAAATTCCTAGGCCTAGGCGTCTGGTCCACGAAGTGTTAATATATAGAATGGAAAGGAAGTAATTTAATGTGAAAAAATGTTCCATGGCCCTAGTGCATTATTAACAGAAGTCTGCAGGCCAGTCTTCAGGAAGACAGGATATCTGGCCAAATACATGTTAATATATAGAATGGAAAGGAAGTAATTTAATGTGAAGTGAGTTCCTTTGTCAGTATTAATGAACATTCAATGCCTTTAATTAAATTACTTTTAAGTTTCTATTGCTGACATTTATTGCATGAGTAATACTAGATCTCATTTATTTGACTTACAGTTTGTTAATCTTGCAGTCATATTTCTTATAATCATTTGGAATTAGAATCTGTGGAAGCTGAATTAAGTCTTAATATGTTAGGAATGCATTTCTTGAGTGGCTTGGCAGCTATTGGTTTTTCAGTGACTCCAGCTCCATGGAGTCAGGAAGTATGTCCATAGAATAACAGTTCTTACAAGTTTGGTCTGTTATTGCCTGTAGTTTTTCAATTCTTCAGTTATGCAGTAACACAACACACAAATCTCATTTGTTTAATTATCATTAAAACCCAAGGACATTTGGAGAAAGAGTATTGGGCATGAAATATGTTTCTAATTTTTAGCTGAGTTTGTTCAAACAATTTTTTCTTCCATTAACCTTTAAATGCCGAACTCCTGAAATGGTGGTAAGCTTGAGCTGGCCGGAGTTTAATTAAATGCCCGCTGCTGGTGTGCGTTTAAATGGCTGTTGCTACTCTGCGTTTAAATGTCCGTTCCTGTTAGGGCACTTAAACAATTTTAAGCATTGTGTTTAAAAATGCCGTATCTAACTGAATTTGTATGATAAATGGATGGAATTAACTTTGTTTGTATCAACAAAGAACATAGTGTCGCATATGACAACGGAAGATTTGAACATTTTTATAGAAAGAGTTACACTCTATTTTCATTTTTTTCTTTTAATTTTGTTGTGTACTGTAAAAATGGTTTCCCAGTTCTTCACAGAGATGTTCTGCATTATAAATTCATTTCTGTTGGTAACACTTGACGAATTTGAGCAGTCCCTGGTGTCCTAAAACAGATGGAAGCAATAAGATGGAAGCACTGCTCTTACACTCTTCGAATTTTCGAATCTTTTGAGTAAAGGACAGAAGATGAAAGAATGGCTATTCAAGAGAAAGCTAGAGGGGTCCCTTCTTCAGTGCTAAGACCTTCTGTTATAGCTGCAAGAGATTGTTGCCCTTTCTAGGGTCGTGAACAGACCATTGCATCATGGCTGAGATACAGAGTGTGATCTGTTTTCTGTGCGTTCATAGTGAAATTGAATATTGTAATTTCAGTTCAGCCTATATATATATATATCAAGCAGTTAACAACAAAAAAGGTATGTATATTGAATTTTTCTAAATATTTTAACATATTAATCTGCAGAATCTGCAATACTGACTCATGGATGAGGTTGGCAATAACTCATACATTTATACTTTCTTGCTGCTGTTCACATAGGTATCATTTTAATTCTTCTATTATGGTTTTACTCAAGTCTGTCCGTTAATTACTACATTTAAAAATAAGTATTTAGGACTGTGCACGCACTTCCACTAGCGGAGTTTAAATGCCCGGCTGGCCAAAACGGGGTACTTCGGCCACGACGACGATACTCATCACTGGCCCGAACGGGGCACTTCGGCGGTTAAGTATTTATTCGTGCAGAAACGTTTAGAGGTTTTCGTGTGGTGTGTACTGTGTTGTTTGATTTTAACCAAGTTGGAATATGTCAGCAAGATTAGTAATACTCTCCAATATCAAGTTCCATGAAAATCCATTTGCCTGT